GGACGCAATCGGCTTTTGAGTCGCAATGACGGTGCAGGCCGCGGACTCGTGGGCGTGGCCGCTGCGGGGGATCCCAGGCGTCGACAGAGAGAGAGAGAGAGAGAGAGAGAGAGAGAGAGAGAGAGAGAGAGAGAGAGAGAGAGAGAGAGAGAGAGTGAGAAAGGTGAAGGGGAGGGTAGGGGCTGCCCGTGGCCTTGGCGCTACTACTCCGGTGCCGGCTGTTGCGTCACCGCTTCCGCGCCGGGACTCCCTTTCCGTCCCTTCAACTTCCATTTATTTCTTCCGTCTGGCGCCCTTTTGTCTTTTCGTTGCCACCGGTGGCTCCCAGGAACTATATTTGTCAGAGTGTTTTATTTTTACGGTGTTTATTATCGGTAGTGGAGTGGTTGACAGTGAGGGACCCAAAATGGCGGCAAGTCACTGTGGGCCATTCATACTACTCGCAGTGAAGTGATAAGTATATCGCGGCTCCGCTTCCCGGCGCGGGTTCTGCGGTCAAAGACACTTTTCGGTGAAAGGCCCGCGGGGTCCACGACGAGGAGGACGATGACGGCGTGGAGGATGCGTCGCCGCAAGGCCGCGAAGGGCGTCCCCTCGGCCAGCCATTAGCGCCGACCCGAGCCGGCCAGCAGGACGGCGACTCCTGGTGCAGGCGATGCAGTGCCTCGGCCGCTCTGTCTCTCTCGCTCGCCGACCCCAGCCGCGAGTGCGACAGAGACAGAGCGACGAGAGCACTGTTCGGGCTGCGCCAGGCTGCGCATGCCGGGGCCCCGGTAGGCAGCCTTGTGATCTGTGAAAGTGCCGAGTGGCTGGCTGGCAGTGGCGCATGCAGCCTAATACTTGCCGGACTATCTGCTGCGATGCCATCTCTCTCGCTCTCGGTCAACGGCCGGCAGCGGGCCGCGCTAATGCAGTGCGGCCCAAGGGCGTCACTTGCCGAGTCACTTGCCGCGTGGGATCCGCCGCTCTGACTGGACCAGTCAGTTCGCACCGTAGGACTGCCAGCAGGACTGCCAGGGCTGCCAGGGCGCCACGCCAATGCGTAGTGAGAACAAATGCCGCTCTCAATGACCGGCTTACCGCTGTAAGTGACATCTTAGTGCGTCGAGCGAAGGTTGGCCGGCCTGGCCGCAATACTTTGCATACGAATTATTCGCATTCATTCATTTTTTGGCGTGCAGGCGTTCGGACGCTCGAAGTGAGGCCCGGTACAGTAACTGGTGCGCCGGGCGTGCCGTTGCGTCGCCCTGTTGTGCCCGTCGTGGTGGTACCACTGGTACTGGTTGTGCCCGCGGATTATGCCACTCGCGTGATTGTAATGTTGGCAGCCCTCTTGTCATGCGGCGGTTCTCTGCCCCGATCGGCGCCAATTTAAACGCCTGCCACGCTTTCTCCGCGCGACAATCTCGTGAGGAGGGTAACTTGACTTGGTGAGCAGGCTGACTTACAAGTGGTCAGGGTGAGTGCGCTTTGGTTAGTTTGGCCAAATGTTCTAAACTATTGTCATCAAGCTTGAGCGTGTGTGTGTTTTCTTCGTCTTTTACTGGTGCGTGTCATCTTAATTAGGTCCACGTTGCCTCCACCACGCCGACGCGGTGCCGACGAGGTCCGGAGGTGCGAACCGGACCTAGCCTTTGACGCCTTTGACGCGCCAAATCCCGCTCTTTTGTTTTCCAACACAAAAGCCGGGGCACGGCGCGCTGCTCGGCGTGCGAACGCTAACGCTGCGAACGGCTTCAACGACAGGACCGGATCAAAAACGGTGTGCGGGAAATGGCTTGCGACACGGCTCCGGGCCCCGCCTGGCCCCGCCTGGCCCCGCCCAGCTCTGTCCAAGCGGACTGATTCAAAGCAGGGGCACGCCCCGTGAGCGTGCGAGAGAGACAGGCCGCTCGGAATGAGCCTGCAGGGAGCGCGTTACGTGGAGAGCATGCTCCGCACTTAGGCCACGGGCAAGGCTCGGCCCGGCCAGCCCGGGTCAAGACGGCCGCACCGTTTGATCTAGTTCGGACACTGCTTGCGTCGCGGCGACCCTCGCGGCGACCTCGGCCCTCAGCCCTACAGTGTCGGCGACGACGTCTCTGTCTTGTCATATTATTTCGACTGTCGTCATCCCTGTCGTCCCAGGGCCGAAGGGCCGACCCGGGGACGCGCGGGTCAGGGCAGGTCGAACTAAGGGCCATTGGGAAAGCGGCTGCGTCGGGCGGCGTCGGACGGCGCGGCCCGCGGCACGGTACAGCACGGCGGCGAGGCTGCGACAGAACTTAATCAGCAGTGCCCTGAACGGCCATTCACAATTTACCCTGCCGCACCCAGCGGGCCGGGGCGGGCCGAGCGGGCGGCCGCTCTGTGGAGCCAATACCCCGCTCGGCACACGTAACGCGGTAACGCGGTAACCCGAGAGCAGAGGGCGCTTTGTGGCGCGAAAAGGAACAATGTCTCAAAGGCAGGACGACGCCCGCGGGCCGCTGGCTGACGGGCCATGCCGACGCACTCGGTGACCGCCTAAGGGTTTCTTCATTCGGCAAAGGAGTGCCAACTTAACGAAAAGTTAAAAATACGGTTATTGCAACTAGATGTGTGCTAACGAATACGAAACGTTTCGTAGACATGCTTTATTCCAGAGATATGATACACACACGTGGAAGGTGTTGGTTTTCCGGTTAAGTTGGCACAGTGTAGGCCACGATTAGCGCGTATTTTTGAGGCGGTACCCAAAACGCCTTTCCTTTCCGCGTGCCTCGTGCCCGGGGCCCGACAGGTTGCGTGGCGGGGCTGGCGCACGGCTGGCTCGGCTGGCGCCAGGATCCCCGGAGAACGGATCACGATCGCCAAACGACGGCGAGGACGATCAAGATCGCACTTGGCGCCGCCGGTGACGTCACGGGCAGTCAATCATCATCGGGTGACGTCACGCAGGCAAGACAAACGCACACAATTAGAAGGCCATTAACAGTGCGGGCCCTGGTGGCCCTGGCGGGGGCGGCGGAGCGCGCGCGCTGGAAATCGTGTCGAAAGACGTGGACGCGGTCAGCGCGATGGACGGCCCGCGTGTGAGGGCCAAGGGGTTCCCGTCGCTCTGTCTCTCTCGCACCCCTGCGACACGCGCCACGAGTGCGAGAGAGACGGAGCGGCGATGCCGGGGCACGCCGTGTGGGACGTCCGCCCGCCCACCACGCCGGTGCGATGGGCTGCCTAGCTGTGGGCGCTGCCGAGACGAGCCCTGTGGCCCTGTGGCCCTGGCATTTGGAGGTGCTCGTTGCCTCATGGTGTGCCCAGGGATGCGCGATGCGGGGCTGGCGGGCTGGCCCTGATGCGTGCGACCGGTAGGCCGATTTCGCACAGTGGTTCGTCGCTCTGCCTCTCTCGCACCGCTGACACATCAACACTGCGCCGGCCGGTCCAATGGCGCGAGACGTATCGCTGCCGGCACAACGAGGAGCCTCCCTCATTCGGGGCGAGGCGGACTAATGGGACTCCACGGCCACGCCACTGTGAAGCCACGGCGAAGCCGCAACGAGGATGAGAAATCGCCGCCATCGCCCCGGTAGTCGGGGAAGTCGGCAACAGGGCGACGCCAAACTTATTGACCAGGACTCGTCTGCGAATCTGACATCGCTTCATCACTTTGATAGGGAACTGGCTGAGGGGTGGTGCGCTCCGCAGAGAAGAGTGGATAGACTAGGACACTGTGGCGCTCCTGGTTGCTTCGTCTCCGTCTGATTGGCTGCCTAAGCCTGCGGCGCTGCTTGTCCTGCCAGTGTGTTCCGCCTGCACGATGGGTTGCCCGCCTCCAGGGGCGTTGTGGCTTCACGCGACCTCGCCCCACCCCGGAGCATGGCACTCACTCGCGCGCTGAGCCCCTGTGGAAGTCGGGGTAGGCAGTCCCGTTACACAGGGGTGTTTTGCAGTGAAGCCTACCCCGGCATTCGCAGGCGCTCAGCCCCTGTGGAAGTCGGAGTAGGCCGTCCCGCTGCACAGACACGTTTTGCAGTGTGCCCAGGCAGTGGATTCACAGGCGCTGGGAGGAAGGGTTTTCTGAGGCAGCCCCGGTACAGCCCTGTAAAACTTCCACTGGTATGAACGCCCCACCTCCTTTTATGGCGGGAGTTCAGCAGAGGTCATCCTCAGTGACCCTCGACGCTTCTCGTCTGGAAACGTTGGCCAACGACCTAACACCATTCAGAGGGGAAACTTGTGTCTCGACCGTTTCAGCCAAAAACGAATTAGAACGGCGTTACTTGATTTCTGACCGCTTGGCTACAGCATGCAACAAAGTGGCGCGCTGGCGTGTCGTTCTTTCAGCGTGTTGATGATACACTAGGTCAACAGTCGCCTGCTGGACGCTGCCCGCGTCGCTGTCCCTCCAGCCTGCCCCTCTGTCCGGCCGCCGCGCCGCCGCCGTCTTGCAGCATGTGATCTAATGGGCCGTGTCCGCGCAGTCCGAGTGTGCAGTTACTGAGAATGATGCGCTTCCGGCCAAGTAGAGTAAGGCCGCGTACTGCGTCCACGACGTCCACGACGACGTCCCTTCCAGGACCGCTTGAGACGAGGCCTTCTCAACCCGTGCTTTTCTTTGGCGGTTTTTTCTAAGCCACTTTACACTGCCTCAATAATTGGGACACGACGTGTAGGTTGAAAGTCTTTGGAAGCGCAGTGTCGTCCACTCAGAGTTGCAGCAGTAACACCTGATCACGATTCCGTCGCTTCCAGTCACCTCCAGATGAGGAGGGTAGCCGCCGCCCGTGCGGGCACTCGGACGCTCGGACCGCGCGCGCCGCTCACACTCGGACGCTCGGACCGCGCGCGCCGTTCACACTCGGACGCCATCGGGCCACCCAGCGCGCCGGGACAGCGACGGCGCACCGCGGCGCCGGAACGGAGTTCGGGCGACAACCGCATCGGGCAACGGAGCCGGCCGCCCGCGAGCGCCCCTCCCCCTCGTGTGTGTCTGAGGAGGGGAGGGGAGGGGAGGGGAGGGGGAAGTGCCGGAGGGGACCGCGTAGTTTGCTTTGAGGCTTCGCTGGGAGCGGAGGAAAACTGTATCGATCCGAGGCAGGTATTCGCGCTCGAGCCGGTGTTGGCAGTCGCGCCACCGCGATTTGGCCTCGGCGATTTCGGCAGAAAAGCGCACCGCTCCGCTCCGCCACTCCCGCCGCGCAGGGGAAGTTCTGTCCGATTCCCGGCGTTCTGACGTTTGGACGCGCGCCCCGCCGTCGGCTGCTCCACACACTGCCGAGTGCTGCCGCTTCGTGCGACGCGGGCTCGTCTGCTGCGACAGGATCTGCGATCCTGCGGTCGGCCCCCACGCCGCCGCGCTGGGTGCTTGGATGAACTCTCGGGCAGCGGTCACACGCAGAACGGCGCCGCACTGTCGCTGGACACAAGTGAGTTCCAGTCGCGAGGCGGCCGACATAACCTTACTTTCAAGGGCCAGTCGCTAGTTTCCCTTTGTCACTCGTTTCTTTGGCATTGAATCGCGTTGCACGCCAGTCGAGGTGCTGCCTGCATTCACTCGGTCTGCGAACCGATGCATGCGTGGAGCACAGACTCGCTGTCTTTCGCGAACGGCGCGTGCAAAACACTCTGCGTTTCCGGGCGCGGTCTTTCGGCGTAGCAGACGAGCCGCCGAGTGTTTGGCGGTTTCCGCCACGCCTCGCTCGGGCCTCAGGCGGCGCGGCACCTCCAACGTCCCAGCATCAATGCGGTTGGAGAGTTCCTAGAATCCTCAAGTCCGACCCGCCCGCTTTTACCAGCGTTAACGTGCCGTTTTCAAGGCCAGGCAAATTATTGGATGTCCTGTGCCTGGGGCCTGGGCCTGCCTGGGCCTCGGAGCACCGCGGTGAGGCCAGCGCTGCTCGTCAGGGTCCAGCAGGCGGGATGGACGGCTGGGCCGCGTGCCCTGTGCGGCTGAATCCGAATCATCTCCCTGGATTTCCCTCGTGGAGCACCGAGTCCTCGCGGCGGCAGTCTGCAAGCCGTCAACAGCACACGACAACAGAGCAGCTCCACTGGCAAACGGCATGATGAGTCTGTTTGACGTGGTGCGCGGCAGGGCCAGGCAGGGCCAGGCAGGCAGGCCAGCGTCGGCCGAGTCAGCTGGAGGGCACGGCTGTACACTGTACCACGACGACGCGAAGGCCCGAAGGGTTCAGCCTGCCGCTATGCTGCCGCCGAGGTGACCCGAAAGGCCAGCCGAGCCAGCCGGGCCGAGCCAAAGGATCGTTCCGCCGCTCTGTCTCTGTCGCACTCATTGGTCGGCCCGCAGGGCTGCGAGAGAGGCAGAGGTGACTGGACAGCATTGCGAAAGGAATAAACACGGTTCCATTTATTTCCGCGCTGACCAATCTGACCGGGCGTGACCGCACGAAGTACGTGGCCGTCCGCGTGCCGCACAGAGAGAAACAGAGCGATGAATGCTCGTTGCTTGCGACCCCTAGTCCGCCCTGCCTACCCTTGGAGCGCCGCCGCTCCGGCCCAAGGCGCTCAAGGCTACGCCTTTGCCTGACGGCCGCAGTCACGAAAGCGGCAAGGGACACTGATACTGTGGCGGTCTCGCAGTGAGCCCCACCCACGCCCCCGCCGCGAAGGCCGCGAAGGTCATGGCGAGACGGCCGTCGACGGCAGGCCCAGGTGCCTGTCCGTCACTCCGTCACTCCCCGGCGTGGCGGGCTGCCTAGCGCCGCCTCCTGCAAGCTTTACAGCGGGGCCCGAGGGCTGGAGCTGGCCGAAGGCAACCCCGCGGCAGAGGTTGCGTGCCCACGTCGGTTCTCGGCTGGCGTGCAGCCGGGCCGCCAAGGAGCTTCTCACGGCGACGTGCTACGTGCTAGCCTCGCGCGAGGCATCGAGGCATTCTGCCGCGTTCTGCCTCGTCCGGCCGACGCGAAATGAGCGCGCTCGTTGGCGGACGGACGACGGCACGCCTTGTTTGCTCTCGTGCGGCGTCACTTAGACCGGCAACCAGCAGGCTTTACGTCACCCTGGCCGCCCTGCGCTGGCCCTGGCTGGCCCTGGCTGGCCAGGACACCTTTGCGGGGCCCGCGGGCCGTCGACGTCACGCGGCCGTAACGGTGTGCTTGCCCGCTTGCCGGACGGCCCCCGAGTGAGTCAACGCGGACGCCACACTGCCGCCGCCTATGCCAGCCAGCCTATGGCACCGCGGGCAAAACAGTTCCACTGCGGTGCACAGGATTGAAGGGAATGACTGGCCCCGCCTCGCGCCTCGCTGCGAATCGAGCGCGCACGGCCCACACAGACACACTCATTCACTCATTCACTCACTCTCACACACACCTACACACACACACCTACACACACTCACACACACTCGAGCGTGATGTCGCCATGTCACGCCGACGTTTGTCGCGTTTGTCTTCGCGCCGGCGGCGTGGTTCCATGTCGTGGCCGGGATGGCCGGTGTTTGTCTCGGCGGGGAAGTCCAAGTGCCCGCCCGCCTCCCGCATCGCCCGCATCCCTTTCTGGCCCGCGAAGTGCTCGCCGCGGGTCGTAATAATATGGTGCTGTGCGCGGCGGACTCGAAGACCAGAGTCGTCGCTTCGAGCACTACGGTCCAACGGCGCCCGAATCCAACAGACACATGTCCATCGAAGTCACCACGCGCGCGATGAGAACGACGCCACGGAGTCCTTCCTGCTCCCGCGACATTTTGCAAGTACAATGTCCCGGTGTTATAGTGCCGGCCCCGCCATTGTGTTGGGCGCAGCGCGATCAACGCCATCCCGAACACCTTGGCGGCAGTTAGCGCGCGAAAACACGTCCCGAGCCAGTGCCATTACAGGGCGAACCGCGGCACCGCGGGCCGGCACTCCCTTTTCACTCCATGCCGCCAGCGAACTGATTCCGCGGAGCCGTTTCGTCGCTCTGTCTCTGTCGCTCTCGCGGCTCGGCCCGCCAATGTGCGAGAGAGAGAGCGTCAGAGCGCCGTGTGCCCGGTGTGTGAGAACACGCGCCAGCCGTGTACCCAACTCGCCTGGATTTGGCCGTTGTCCCCTTCGATCCGACTAGGCGCCGCGGGGCTCCGCCGCTCGCATTGTAGCACCCGAGCGATTCAGCAGATCGGTTCGACGCTGTGTCTCTCGCACCCTTACGGAGAGCCCCATGAGTGCGAGAGAGACAGAGCGACGAAACGACTCTTCTGAATCGCTCGGCAGCTGAATGGCGCCAAAGGACTCCGCCCACCAAGGTCGCAACTGCAGCCCGATTCCGAGAGTCGCTTTCGTCGCTCTGTCTCTCTCTCGCACTCGTGGCGCGTTCTTGTGGGTGCGAGAGAGGCAGGGCGACTCTCGGAATCAGTCTGCTGCATGTCGTGGGAGTGCGCGGTGAGGGGAGGGGCGCGGCGCGCGGGCGGCAGCGCTGGCGGCGCCTGTTGGGACGCGAGTACACAGTGTAAGGGGCGCGGGGCGCGCGAGACCAGGTGGGAGCGCCTGTTAGCGCTTTTAGCTCCGGCGATGATGCCTCCGGCGCGGCCGAGACTGGCCTTCGGGCACCTTCGGGCCGTTCCTCTGACTGTGGCGGCCGTCGGCCGGTCCGACGCTACTTCTCTAAGTGTGCCTCTGACGTCTCCACGTTTTGTTTGCAGGCGGGCGCGCCTACTATGATCGCTTCCCTGCGCACGGGGAACACCAGGGCGACGAATCGGACGTCGTAGCGGCCAGCAGCAGGACGACGACGACCAGCTCCGCGATGGCGCTCGGCAGGCGCGGCAGGCGGGCCTCGGCCAGGCCCACGGGGGCGGCCCTCTGGGCGTGGGCCGTGCTCGCCCTGGCGCTGACGGGGTGCTTGGCCTCGCTGCCGGAGCTGGAGTGCCCCGAGGAGTGCGAGTGCCACTACTTCCGCATCAACTGGGTGACGGACTGCTCCGAGAGCAACCTCACCGACATCCCCAACGACAACATGAGCCTCAGCGTGTACATCCTCAACATGAACGGCAACAACGTGACCACGTGGCCCACCTTCCCCGCCGACATGAAGCTCCGCCGCCTGCAGGTCTGTATCCCTTCTTGCATGTCGCCGTGCCTGCGCCTCGGCCTTGTCTCACTCGGCGTGACTCGTTTTGCAGGTGGCCGACAACCGCGTGCAGCGCGTCACCAAGGAGATGTTCCAGGGCCTGGGCTACCTCATCGACGTGGACCTGTCCGGTAACAACATCTCCGCCGTGGACCCCGAGTCCTTCAAGTGAGTGCCAGCGGGCGGCGTGCGCTGTGCTTCCATATCGTCGTGCCGATCTTGATCTTGATGCTTGCCCCACAGGGACAGCCCGGGCCTGCTGACGGTGGAGCTGCAGAACAACCCCCTAGGCCTGGAGCCCGTGGACGGACCCTTCCTGCACTCGCAGACGCTGCTGTACCTGGACCTGAGCGACACCAACCTCACCAGGCTGTCCACGCTCTTCTTCTCGGGCATCAGCGCGCTCAACCGCCTCGACCTGTCCGGCAACCCGCTCACCGAGCTGCGGCCCGCCGTGCTGGACCCGCTGTCCAGCCTGGAGCACCTCAAGCTCAACAGGTACAGTGGAAAGGCAACTGCGTTGGGGGGACGATGTGGCGGCTTCATCCGCTGAGTGTGAGCGACACTGTGTGCTGCTGCAGGTGCAACCTCACCGCCTTGTCCGAGCACGCCTTCAGCAAGCAGGAGCACCTCAAGACGCTGGAGCTCTCGGGCAACTTCCTGACGGACGTGGACTGGACGGCCGTGCTGCAGCCGCTGGTGCGCCTGGAGCACCTGGACCTGCGCGCGTCGCGCGTCACCTACCTGCCCGAGGACGTGTTCGCCAACAACATCTGGATCCGCAGCCTGATCCTGGCGGAGAACGAGCTGCGCGACCTGGACGTGGCCACGACACTGGGCCACAACCTGCGCCACCTGGACCACCTGGACCTGTCCAACTGCCACCTGCGCGGCCCGCTGTCCGAGGACGCCTTCGCCAACGCCACGCGCCTGCGGTCGCTGCTGCTGTCCGGCAACAGGCTGTCCGCCTCGGACCTGGCCGTGGCGCTGGCGCCGCTGTCCAAGCTGCAGAAGCTGTCGCTGCGAAACTGCTCCCTGCACCGCCTGCCCGACAACACCTTCCACCGGTTCACCGACCTGCAGGTACGCCTGGGCTGACATGCCGCCTGGCAAGCACACTAGCTATTCAAACTAACGCGCTTTATTCTCTCTTCCAGGAGCTGGATCTGTCCAAAAACCCTCTCCAGGATGCGTTCACGTCGCTGCTGTCCCCGCTCGAGGCCCTGGAGCGGCTGGACATGGGCTACAGCAACCTCGGCTACATCTCTCGAACCACCTTCTCCAAGATGACGTCCCTCAAGACCCTCATCTTGTCGGGCAACCCGCTCAACACGCTCGAGTCGGGCTTGTTCCAGAACCTGACGCACTTGGAGACGCTGGAGCTCAACAACTGCGGCCTGGTCCGCGCCATCAACCCGGTCGTGTTTGACAACGCCACCTACAGCGACTTGCGCGAACTCCGCTTGGCTGGCAACCCGCTCAAGGTGGGTGGAGGCACACTGGAGGCACACGTCCCCCTCAGAGCAGGCACGCCTCACGAGTATTCTCATTCTGTTGCAGGTGACCAGCGACTCGGGGCCGCTGCTTCCCAGCCAGCTATGCAAAGTCCGCGTCCTCGACCTCAGCAACTGCAACCTGACGGTGCTGCCCCCGGACGCCTTCAACACGACGCAGAACATCACGCGCCTGCTGCTGGGCGGCAACCACCTCACGTCCACCGTGGCGGCGGACAACGCCCTGCCCTTCATGGAGCACCTGCCGGCCGTCGAGATGCTGGACCTCACGTACAACAACCTGAGCCGCCTGTCGCCCGCCGTCTTCAAGTGAGGCCCGGCACCCCTTGCCCAGCGATTGAGCAGGCTCTGATCACGCCCGGATCATGCTAACTGATGCGCTCATTCCCCTCCCCGCAGGAAAAACCACCAGCTGGCGACGCTCAAGCTGGTGGGCAACCCTTGGCAGTGCGACTGCTCCATCGCGGAGCTGTGGGAGTGGGCGCTCAACTGGCGCGGCGACCTAGGGCTGCTCGTGGGCTCCACCATCACGCCCGAGGACACGGTGGCGGGGGGCGCCAAGCGAAAGAAGAACCTGGTGTGCTCGTTCCACCCCAAGACCAGCCCGCTGTCGCGGTCCTGGAAGCGCGGCCGCGAGTACACGCACACCTTCAACCGCACCTGGGCCAAGTAAGTCGACTGTCCCCGTGGGGCTCGCCGTGGGGGTGCGAGAGAGGCAGAGCGACAGAGCTCTGCTCGCAATCTGCGTCCGGCGGCATCGCATTGCAGGGTTGACGTTGGATCGGTTGCAGGTACGTCCGCGAGTCTGGCTGCGAACCCAGCAAGACTCTCACTTCAGCGCGCTTCGCCCGCGACGTGGCCGCCATCGAGATGGACGTCTTCGAGATGGACGACGTCGGCGAGGACGCCCTCTTGGAGGAGGCCGCCGTCCCAGGGGACGCTGCGGCGCTGTCCGAGACCGGCAAGAAGAGGGAAGTCCGGTCCGCGCCCGAGGCCATGCCCAAGGCCGTGCCCCTCGCGGCCCGAGCCTCACCGCCAGGCCTCTCCGTCGGCACTGTGGCGGTGGTGGGCGTCGTCTCGCTCGTCGTGCTGGTCGCTGCCGCCGCCACCATCATGTCCGTGGCGGCCAAGGCGGCGCGGCGCCAGGCGCCCGGCGACAGCCTCGGCCTGCACGCGTCCGTCGTTGGCGTGGCCGCGGCGGACGGGCCTGGCCACGACCTCGGACACGGCCTCGAGATTGGCGTGGGGAGCGCGGAGAAGATGAAGCACTTGTGAGCCATGGGGTGCCAAACCGCGACTATGGACTTTTGTTCCTGACGTTCAAATGCATGGCATGTGAACTAGTTCTTTTTAAATAGTGGTGTTTTAGCGAAGCCGTGTCGCCCGTCGCTACTAGACTGACGTTTTTTGGGGTTCACACCGTTCACACGCGCTTCCTATTGCGTGTTCCCTCGGCGTGTCTTTTCGGCTTTTACAATTGTTGCGCTTGTGTAAAACCAAAGTGATATGTGATGCGACATAATCTATTTTAAGTATTGTGATATCGGCATTATTGAGGTAGGTAATCAAGTAGCATACATAGTCTTAGAAGAAATGTATTGTCAAAGTTGTTTTTTTTTGTGTGTAAATTAAGTTAATAGTACCCGTAAATAATGTTGAGATTGTAATTTTTCTATCCCAAATAAAGTGATTATACAAGTTTTTTCCTTGTTCTTGGGTGTCATGCCATCGAGATGGAGCTAAATGAAGACCAGCAGGAGTTTATACTTTGAAAAGTTTGTATTAGTAAAAAAATATTATTATTGGGTGTTAAACTTATTCATTAATTTTGTTAGAAAAATATTTTAAAATATTTTAAACAAATAGGTGCACACTGATAAGATATAAAAGAAATAAAACAGGGTATTTTAACGAATTCCTGGACCAGTCTGCACATGCGCAGAAGCGGTTTTAATTCTTAGTTTTGTCCTTGACTACCTGTCCAGCGATTTGCTAAAATAGTTTATTGTAATATTCATCATAATTGAACTTATGTCAACTTAATTTGTACTTATGAGATTCAGTCAAAAAAAACAACGAACATTTAACAAATTCAATTTAACATAACATAAAATAAAAAAAGATCATTATTATTGCTTATTAAGTAAAGATGTAAAAGAGTGCCATCACCAATATATCATGCATATTTTTGTGTGAAGGGGGCAAGAGCGGGACAACAACAATACATCAGTTGGGGAATTCCAAGATGTCACCACATTCACACTTTTCCTTGCAAACAGTTCAGTTAGATGGGGAAGACTGTATGCCCACAGCACAAAAATAAGTCTTAATAGAGAAATAATAATGATTGCAACAACAATACAAACAACAGGCGCAGATACAGGGGAGGAACAAACAGGTTTTTGCACCCCCATCCCTCCCCCCCGCAAATAGCACCTAGATAGCCGCGAAAGGCCATACTTTGCCCCTGTAAGTAGGCAAACAGTGCTACAATGCACTGGATCTGCCACTGAAATACAACAGAAGTGTATCCGCCACCAGTATTTAAGATAAAATTTTCAAAATTATTCAAAAATTCTACAAGAAGTACAAGAGATCTTCTAATTGTAAGTGAGGCTCTCGGTGAAGTGAATTTCCAACAAGGAATGCCAATTTGTGGGCGTACTGACACGGTGCTGGAACTCGTACAGTGCCCTGAAAAAAAAAAAATCAAAATCAAATGTATTGAAGGCATACGTTTAAATACTGTATTCTACGCATTTACAGTAATGCCAATTCCTTCAAATAAAACATACACTCCAATTATAATAAAGATGACACAATTTATAGGTCAACCATTGGAGGTGATTGGGTTTCAAGCCACTTGTGTCATGTATAACATTGTATGACGTTGGTGTCACGGTTCCATCACGAACAGATTGACTGACCAAGAAAAAGTCGTACCTGAAATAAAAAAAGCATTGTGAGAAACGTGTAGTTTGAGGCATAAAAGGATGCAATAAATTCAATGATGTCACTCACTTTTCCGGATCAGTGATCACATCGTCGGCAATGGTCCCTGGAGGTGGATTTTGATTCTCCTTAAAAAGACGAGTATTGATCCTCTTAGTGACAATAATGAAAGCCATCGATACAGGTTGTTCACCATACGCTTGAGCAAGTTTATCTAAAGTTGTCTGCAGCTCTGTGTCATAGACATATTGTATCTGCCCTTCTCCCACACCATCACGATATATGAAGATTTTAGCAGGCAGTTTGTTGTTAATCTCACGAAACTTGCGGACAGCCTCTGAAAGAAAGATAATCATGGAAGAATTTTAATGAATGACTACAAAGAGGACAAAATTCATCATCATATTTATACACAGAAAACACTCAACACAGAACACTTTTAAATGCAAAAGTTTATTAATAATAAAATAATTATAATTACTGATGATGTTTAGGGCCAGATTGTTGCTCAACTCCTCTCCACTAGTGTGAGCTGTCACTGCTGAGAAGTATCTTGTACAGGCATCGTCCAAAGAGGCCACCATAGCACCATAGGAGCTAGCCTTGTTTTGGCTGTCATGGCATACATCAAAACCAACTACCATGATACCCTGCAACTTCATCACGTTAGTAATAGGAATCTCAATAACACAAACAACACACAGAAGCAGAAAATACCACCTTTGGGGGAATATTTACACTCCATGGAGCACCACCAAGCTTGCAATTCATTTGAATCATCACTTTTGTGGCAACGCTCATGGACCTTTTGGGATCATTCAAATTTTTACCCAATAGTACTTGAGAGGGCACTGGCAAAAAATATTTATGATTTTACATCCAATTAAGAACATGACACAGAAACATGAGTAGACTGCAGATGAATTTTAAGCTGAAAATATGACAAGCAACCATTACCTGGACGATCCACACAACACTTTTTCTTGATTGCTGCATATCTTGCACCATTATTGTTAGGCACAATTACCATGACCATCTTTGGCTGATGGTGATTCAGGATCTGAGTCAGGGCGTCAATATATTCATGTAGGCCATCTTTTGGCAAGTTAGCACTAGCAATAAATTTAGAATAGTTTTTACTGACAGAGAGCATAACAGAGCATTTAAGCAGTTGACAATGTAAATGTACTTGAACTTACATTTGAGGAGGTTGCACTGTGATACCCATCCCTCGCCCAGCTCTTTCCAACATTTCAAGAAACCTGCCTGCATTTTGTTTGTCTCTTGGTGAGACCAGCACAAACCAATCAGTCAAATGCTTGGGCACAATTAGAGGGTTTGACTTGACAGAGTTGGTCCAGTCAATACTGGGCAAAGTTGGCTCCTTTACAATGTCACGTTCCGAACTGTCACGTCCCAAATATATTTTTTCAACACCAAGTTGGCGTCCAGGAACCCTTACAAGCTGATTGTCCAAAGACATGTTGAATCTCCCGAACTCTGTCATGACCTGCCGCACACAACTTTCAATGGTTGTAACCAATTTAAAAATGGAAAGGAGCAATATTCAGTAAAATTACTTACCTGTGGGTTTGTTTGTAAACGCCGGTTGAATGCAAGCAGCCTATTGACTCTTTCTGCTGGTTGGATACGAGTATGCCGTGATACAGCGGCCATAAGCTGCCATTTTCCTCTTAAAAAAAAAATTGTAGAATAGAAAATGTTGAAAGCAAAACGTAGATGCGGCAACACGGCTTAGGCAATCTTAGGTACAGTCGCACTCCAGTCTTCAATCCTGTACAAAACTTCAATCTATTTTTCTGAGAAGAGCAAGAAAACTCACCGCATATTATCTGAAAGTCCTGTGGCATAGCAGACTTCAGGTATCAGATCGATAATTTCATCTCTTCCGGCTCGAATTTCTCTTGCTTTAGCCTTCGAAACTAGCAATGGCTGACGCATATCACGAATTTGAATTTGATACTTTGTTTGCATATACTGAGCAAATGTAATATCAGCATTTTGATAAGTGAAGGAGCTTGCTGGATTTTTGTCATAATCCACATCAGTTATCTGGTAAGTTTTGTTATTGTACTTTGTAAGTACTATACATCCAATTATCTCCTTACTAAACTTATCCTGGAAATTTAAAGAAACCAGTACGTTGAAAAAGTTGCAGTATGATCACATCAGTTGGAGTTAAAAAAAAAAAAAAAAAGCAGAACTTACTCGATAATGATGAGGACCAGCTTCCCTCAAACATTGAGCCAAATGATCAAGAACTGTATCTGTCCTCATGATCTTATGAGTAATTTCAGCACACATGAGAATCCCGGCCTCATGTTGACGAATACTTGTCTTGTATCCAGGCCATAACTCAAGACCAAATTCACGAATCTGAATCTAGTTTCAAGAAGAGGGAATTAAAATTAAACTTAAGGTCAGGGCTTAAATGTTTTCTATGGTAAAAAATTAACAAAATGTAGAGAAAAAAAATAGAAAATTCCAAGCAAATTTGGTAGTACCTTGACACTAGGGTCTGGGTCATAATAATCACGCCCTACTAACTGCAAACCAAGAGCTCTAATACAATTTCGCATTAGAATGTTGAACACCTGTTGATAGGAATAATCTCCATACTTCACTTCATTGACATGTCTCACTGTAATTGTGTATTTGGTACCAGCATCACTTTCGGATGTCCAAGTGATGGATTGTCCCTAAAACATAACAGGTGAGTTAGTGAGTATCATCCCATGTCTTCAAAGCCATCAAACTAGCTCATTTGTCTTGATCAATGAAAAGAAAAGTGAATAAAAAGAAGTAAGTAAAAATCATAAAATTCAACATACTGGTGACGTAGTGAGACGCGAAGATGAGTACAGCACAGTTCCATCAAAAATGTAACCCCCAATTTTTGTTTGGTGAACTTTCAATAATTTCTTTCGTTCAAAAGTCCTATCTTCCTCTGGAGCAATGTCCACTCGGTATTGATGCAATGTCCAGTCAGTGATTGATGTTAACTTGAAATAATTAGCGGTCAATGGTGAGGGATTCCCGGCATTACCTGAAACACAACTCAGTATCAGGATTCACAGTGCAACAAAGAGAAAAAACCATTTAACTCACCCTGCTTGGTTGTGATTGTATCCGGCTTAGTCCTCAAGAATTGGTACTCAATAACACGCCTGCCGCGCATTGCACCGCGACCCACGGGTCCTACTGAACCATCTGATCTAGCTCCATCCTCATCCAATCGACGACTTGGTCCTCCTCGTCCTCCCTCGACAGAACGACTGGGTCCTGCTTGCACTCCTTCAACAGAACGACTCGGCCCTGCTCTTTCGCCCTCAACTTGACGGCTTGGTCCAGGACTGCCTCCTTCTTCAGGGCGCCTTGAGGTCGAATCTGCAAAGGGAGTCTCAATGATGCAAGGCAAATAATGGGGATCATTTAAAAGCAAGCAATAAATGCATGTTTTTTAATTTACTAAGACTCAGTTGCTGCATTTGCTGCATTTGCTGCATTTGCATTTGCTCCAGTCTTCTTTGAGCTAAATTCTGGGCTGGGGGACCTCCTCGCTAAAGAAAGCAATAAATTAATGCGCAAACCACATAAATTTTTTTTGTGAAAATTTGAAAAATGCGTAAGAGCAAATTCATTTACCCCTCTTGGAGATGCATGACCCTGCAAAAGCAAAATAAATATTTTACAAAAACATACAGTTGTGTACGTGTCTTTGTTTGTACTCGCTTTTTGGCACCTACCTGGGCTCTGTCTGATTCTGCGCCTCCCTGGCCCTCACGGTTCCAACCTCTACCTCTACCTCGGCCTCGTCCTCCCATGATTCAGAGAGCCCTAGAAAAAAAATCAAACTAAATCAAGATTGTTGTCGTGAAGATATTTACAATAGATGCAAACTTGCATTTTGAAAAACTATATTTTCCAGTTGAAAGCTAATACAAAATTGGAAATTACCCGGAAAAGAGTTTATTGACCAAAATAGAGAATTTTTGAGGACTTGAAAGGCATTACCCTTGATGGGCCGAAATAAACTAAAGAAACGAGTACGTAACCTCCGACGAAGTGATAAGGGGCATAGTGAACTAAGAACAATAAGAAAACAGACGGTGCGCTAGAAATACTGTAAAAGAACTAAAATTTATAAAAAACAACTTCTTACAGGGCAGCAGTTGCAGACGACTCTATACCAGACATAAGACGGTAATAGCAAACCGCTTGTTTTCGTTCAGGGCGCTCAGGGACCGCCCAAGCCCAAATACGTGTGGAGTCAGAGCGAAGCGAGAGAGGGGGAGCCCGAGCGTGACCGACCGAGCGCCACCGAGCGCCCAAGCCAGCCCAGCCCAAGCCAGCCCAAGCGCCGAACCGTGCCTTGGGAGGACGCCGAGCGTTCGAAACTCCCTTCTGCATGTCCATAGACGCTTCACCTTTCAGAAATGCGCGGTCCAGTCGCTGAATCTGCTTCTCTCATTAACTCATCAGTAAGCGAGTGCGACAGAGATGGGAAACAAAGTGTGTTTCTAGGGCGCGCGACGCAGCTGACGCAGCGCACTTGTGGAGGGGGTAGGGAATGCCAAAATGCCACAACCGACGGTCCCTTCCTGGCCCCTACTTTCTCCGATAAGTAGGGAATTTTTTCCAAAACGAAGCGATTTTTGATGTCTTTAGAATTGCGGGTCGCAGCAGGAAAGAAAGAAAGAAACAACAGTAAAAGCTTGGACGTGAACCACACAATCGCGAAACGTTGGAACATCCGATTTTATTTCGAAGTTGGGGATATAATTAATGCTAATGAGTAAATTACCAGTGAGTTAAGAACGCTAAGAATTTTCCTGGCGGGGCAAACGTAAAGTGGGGAATTGGCCAGTTAGCAGTCGCTCTCCAAGCGTACGTACAGCTAAGGCGCAACCGCAAAGTCGACGTGGTCGTTAACGACATTATTTTCAACTTTAGGGCAAAGTCAGGACAGTCCTAATCTGCTTTACGTTTTACAAGCAAAAGTGGAACTTACACCAGTCACTGAAGCAGCCGGCGATTCTGGGGACGAGTCAGTCCGCAGATGGACCTTGAACCGGCAGCGTACTTCTACGGAGAGAGACACCCACTGGACTAGATCGCGCACAGCACAGCAAATGACGTCTCCCCCCACCCCACCCCTCATGAGGGAGAGGGGGGCAGTCAGAAGGTCTCACTTCGCTGACTCAACAATCCACACTCCCAAAAGTTGAAACACGCAGTTTGTGACCGGTAGCGCCTGTCAGCATAGAGACAAAAGCTTGTCTCCATGCTGGCAGGTAGACCCCGTCCCGCGACACAACTTGGTAGCCACCGTCCTACACCGATGTGATGCGGGACGGATGACGGATCGGTGGTCTACTTAACAGGGGCTCCTCCCTCTCTGCCTCTCCGGGTGTATCACTCCATCCTAGTGTATTTCCATCGCCACCACACTGGGTTCTTAGATTTGGTGGGCCTGGTGGGGCTGTGTTGCGCCTGACTGGAGGGCAAGGCAGGGTCACCGAACGCAGTGCCGCCCTGGTTGTGTCTCCATGCTCTGGCAGTCCCTTGCAACCCTTTGACGAATGCGCTCTATTTTTAGTCACCCCGTTCCCCCCTCTCGCTCACGCACTGGAAGCGCGAAGGGCTCAAGTCACGGCGATCCAATCAGACTGGCTGCGTTAAGGGGAGGGTGAGCCCAACGCGCAACACAAAACCCTATGCCATGTGTATACATATAGCGTGGGCTGTGGCACTCGTGGTGCGCTGCGTAGGCCAAGGTATCCAGGGAAATAATGACTACCGAACAAATTATTAAATTAAGCATTTCATTTTATTCTAAAAAAAAGGGGCGGTTAGATCACATAAATGCATTGCAAATAACATGAGTTACATTAAGCACTGGGTGAAAATGGTGTAGGCACTTGTGATGAAGGTTGACATGAAAGTTATGGTAAAACACTGTCCATAATAAATAACAGTTCTGCAAGATGTGGTTGCACTGGTTAAGGCACCGTCATTTAACTTCTCACGTTGCTCAATCTTCATCATTGTCAGCACCTGGCCTCTGACTGGGGGGCTTGGGACCTCCTGCTCTCTTGGCCATGATGATCTGATCAACTTTAAGAATTGTGCAAGCGGCATTGGCAGCGTACTTCATGCCCCACATCTTGGTGAGGTAAAGGTCCAAGATGTTTCCAGCTACAGCATCACAAGTGCTTGCGACTTCAGCCTGTAAAGAAATGCATATTGTTTGAATATTGAGCAATTCAATGTTGGTGATCATTAAGAAATCACAATAAAGACATCTTACATTAATGTCAAAGCCTGCAGTCTTTTGGCCTTCTTCATGAGCAGCATATAGCTTAGACACTAGTTCATTGGCTTTAATGCCAGTATTTTCAGCTAAGATTTTGGCAAATCCCTCTAATGCAACAGCAAACTTCTTCACTGCATACTGTTCAAGACCAGGTCGTGTATCTCCAAAAGAGGTCAACTGTCGGGCAAGCTCAATTTCAGTTGCACCCGCCCCAGCTACAAGACGACCATCCTGTCCATGAAAAAAATAAAAATTTCAATTCACAGGGCACCATCTGACTCTCACATCCTTGCATGTTGTGTTCAATTCATATGGGGGTTCATGTTAAAAATTAAGAAACCACAAGAGAGACAAAAAGAAACATGTCCCTCTTTAGAAAAGAATTACCTTGCTGATTCCCTTGAAAGTGTTTACACCATCATCAATCGCCCTTTCAATGTCATCCATGTAGTTGTTGGTTGCACCACGCACTACAATCGTTGCTACCTTTGATTCCTTGCCTTCCAGGCGGAAAACAACAACATCTGTGTCACCAACCTCATCAACACAAACAACATCAGCATAACCCATCTCTTCTTTTGTTGGTGCAGTCTGGAACAAGGGTGAACAAAATCAAGTCAAAGTAAGTTAATAACACAAAACATTCCAAAGGGACTTTGCAATAAAGCTTACCATTCGAGGCAAAGCAGTGGCACCCACGGCTTTGCATAGTCTACGAAGATCCCATTTGCTTGTGAGGCGAACACCCATAAGACCATACTTGTTCAAATAGTGCAGTGCCATGTCACCAAATTTGGCCCCACCAACAACGACATCAGCTCCAGCATCAGCAATAGCCTTAATTTGACTTTCAAGCATGCTTTCCTCTCCCCTAGAGAAGTTCTTTAATTCATCTGCATTTTTAATAAGAACTGTTCCCTGTAATATAGGCAAGAAGTGATAACTGACTTATGATACTAGTATAAAAATTAAGTTTCAGTTAAATGCTCATACCTTGGTTTCAGTTTGCATAATATCTACAGCACAAGTGTACACTACAACTTTAGCTTTGTTCTTCTTGGTAATATCACCTTCTACCTGGCGCTTGAAAACCATGCCCTGCACAACTGATGAACCATAAAGACCAGAACCCTGAAAATAACAAAGAGCCTCTGTTAGCCAGCACAGTTTGAAAACTTAAACCTCATCAGCTTATTATTTGCTTACCAGGATTTTGCAGACTCGAACATTGTCCACATTAAAGGATCCCCCTTCCGGTAACACAGAAACTAAGAAAGAAAGAACAAGTTTTGGTTAAAAACAAGCAGATGATAATGCTAGTAAAGTTAAGGGCTAAAACCAGAATAGCTTACTGCATGCTTTGCCGATAAGTTGACTGATGAAGTCCTCTTGTCCATACTGTTTGCTCATGATGGAAGTTCTAAGGGCTTTCATAACTTGAGACTCATTCCTGATGTCTTCAACTTTGTCAACAACAAGGGAGGGAAGAATTTCAAGAGCTTTGTCTAAAGCCAATTCAAAGCCTTCAGAAATTTCAGATGGTGTGAGACCCTATATGATAAATTTTATTTTAGTAAGAAAAGGAATAAATCAGAGCAGACAGAAAAAGATTTAAAATGTTACAAAATAAATTTTATAGAGAATTACCATACGGAGTAATTCTTCAGCACCCTCCAGAAGCGCACCACACAGTATGATAACAAAGTTTGTACCATCTCCCACTTCTTGTTCCATCATTTCTGCTGCAAGGACCATGAGCTTAGCAGCAGGATGTTCCACCTGGTTTAAATTAAAACATAAATAATGATGTGCATGAAAGATTTGGGAGATTTAGCTATAAGACATACATTTAAAATACTTACATCAAGTTCACGGATGATGGTCCCAGCATCACTTGTAACAAAGAGTTTCTCAATGTGATTGATGACCATTTTGTTCATGCCATTGGGGCCATACGCAGTGCGAACTGTCTTGGTAAACTCTTTGCAGGCGCCAATGTTGCGGTACACTGCTTCTTCGAGCCCAGAGAAGTGCTGAGGGAACGGGGCGGTGATGTTAGATTTATTGTAAACTCAAATGAGTAAACAAGAAGACTGCAGTCAGAATGGACAAACTTAAAGCAAGAAAATTGTAGTAGATATGACTAATTAAATTTCAATTCATTGACAAAGCAAACTTTATGGATTGAGATTTTCCTACGATGTGACACCCAACTCTAGCACAATGAAACCTGTGGTAATACGTAAGTTAAATTTGATTCCAGACATATACAAAAATAATTTTCGAACATCGATCTCAACCCGACACGGAGGTGGGCATTGTAAGCAACAAACGACGAAAACTGGAAAGAAAATCTTAGCATGTGTTGATACAATGAAAGAACATGCTCACGACAGAGTTAGGTTATGCTTTCTGTCGGTTTCAAAATAAATGATGAGGACTTACCCGAGCTCCTTCTTTCATCATCTGGGCGAAGCCCGGAGCTTTGGGTACATGTAACGCCATGGTGTCGTGGAGAATCTAAAGATGTTTCGTACTTTCGTGATAAATTGCTTGAATATCCAATTTGATCACACCACACCGCACGGCAGCCGCTCCTTCGCACCTGACAATGCGTGGGTGCGTTCGATGTTGGTCAGTGCCTCACGCTAGTGCTCTTTGCGTTTTTATTGTTGACAGCTGAATATTTTATCAAAATTACTGTATTTTCCGAAACCGACAGTTTTGAACAAGGGAAGAAAAATCTAAGCGCAAACCAAAATGCGCAATTTTTTTTTTTTTAACGTTTGTTTCCCGCCCCGCAGGTCAACGACCAGAGCTGACCGCCGATGAACTACCTTTAAAAGGAACGCCCCCAGTTAGTTCGTGAAGAAAAATGGCCCTTATTTTAGGTCGGCTTGGTTGTCAGTTTTCTTGATTTGTTTGGCCCTATCCAGTCTCTGTGTACACCTTCAGAAGAATATTTTATCTCACTCATCAACGCTCATTCATGCCTCGGTGGGTGTAACATATTTTAAAACACTCCAGTAGAAAGTTCCCTCTGAATTTACAATAGCGGTCGCTCCAGTTGGCAAGTGATGTCGCTGAGCAGTCATTGTAATAACGAACTTTTAACTCGCTTTTCTTTCACCGATTATTTTCTTTGGGTTAAGTCAAGCTCTATCAAGGTTCAGCACTGTATTACTTACCGATCCAAGCACCCACTCTTCAAACCAATGTACCACTGGTGCAATTCAACCTACAAGTCACCTAACCCCTGTAGCTGCTATCTTTCGATTCTGTTGATTTCTTTATTGGTTCCGTTACTTTTCCGCTGGAATCAAGTTACTCTATTTTTTGGCACTCCCTTATTGTTTAAAATATTTGTGTATCGGTCAATGGTTTTGTTTGTTTACATCTGTAGTACAGTATGACATGTATAGCTACTCTGAGAATGAGTGTCTGTTTACTGTTGTTGCTTTTCTGGGATTTAATTTGTACAGACTTTCTTGCATCAATTTTTTTGAACCCTTTGAAGGGATCGAACTTTGTTGTAGAACCTAAGAATAACTATATTTCTGTTTAAGCAGTACTGATATCACTGTTTGAAACTCATTACATTGTTTTTTGGTCTTTCTCTGTAAGATTTTTGTTTTTATTGACCTCCTCCATTCATTTCTGTCTTTCTCATTTAATTTAGTTAAAAATGAACTTTTGATTATGAGCCCTTGTTTATGACTCGTGACTTTGTCTTGCTTTACAGTTAGAAAATGCCATCAGATAGTGAAAATGAATCTTCAAGTCTGAAGGCGCGTCTTAAGGCCAAATTAAAGGAAGCTGGTGTCGTCAACTCAGATAGCAGTGATGATGAGGACAAATCTAAGAAGAAGAAATTAGGACTCAAATCCGGTACCTCTGCAATACCAGGAACACTTCCTCAAAATGGTCAAGGTGGGAGCCGTGTGAAAAAAAATAAAAAACCAATTGCAAATGGAATTGATAAACCTGCCTTAAGTTCAGATGATGAAGAAGATGTAATTACTTCTAAGTGTCGTAAACCGGTAAGCTGCAGTCATACATTTCCAAGCATTTCTTTCATCAAAGAGAAACTGAAATAGACTAATTTCTGCCTCCTTACTACAGAAGCCATTAGAAAGTGATGAATCTGAATCTGATGAATCAACAGTGTTAAGTGCTCGAGCATCTTCTAAAAAGAGATCCAATGTGAGTTTCAAAAGATGAATTAAAGTGCCTAGTCATTTCATATATTAATTCATTCATTCATTCATTCATTACAAATGTATGAAATTCTTTTCAGGTGTTGTCTAGCTCTGAGGATGATGGTCCTGGTGATTCAGCAAGCTCAGGATCAGATGCTTCTGGTGATGAATCAGAAGGTGATGATGTCAATAGTGATGAGAGTGAAGACGATGATTCTGACGCCTGCAGCATGATTGACAATGGTATAGTTTCTAATTTATTTTTTTTTTAATGAAAATGTGCACACTTGGAAAAGGAACTGTTTTATCTGGTGTGTGTAATTTTTTACAGAAGCTGAAGAGGGTGAAGAATCAGATGTTTCTGGTGAAGAGGAACCTCATGGAGAAACGTTGTCAACTGAACCATCAGAGTGCTCTGGCTCTGGCTCTGATTATGAAAGTGACTGGATAAGTGATACAGATGAGCCTTGTCAAACAAATACTAAGTCTTCTGGGAGACATGTTAGTGAAGATTAATCATGAGCTGTATCCTCTTCTTTTATGATGTGTTACTGAATCTCATTCTTTGCTTAGGTTGCAACATCTAATTCAGCTGCTGCTTCGTGTGGCTTTGCTTCTGACAGTAGTGACGGTACCTCAGAAAAATGCCCCATTTGCTTGTTGCGGTTCAGCAATCAAGAAGTAGGAACACCAGAGTCATGTGACCATATTTTTTGTGCTGAGTGTCTTGAACAGTGGTCGAAGGTATTTCCTCCCTGCTGATGAAAATCTGTCCTTTCACTGATCTTAATTCTAACTAGGTATTTTTTTCTATTTTGTAGAATGTTAACACATGCCCAGTGGATAGGCAGGAGTTTACTCTAATCTTGGTTAGACGCCGTGTTGGTGGTAAAGTGGTGAGGCAAATTGCTGTGGAGAGATCAGAAGCAAAGGATTCAGATGAAGTTGAAGACCCTACTTATTGTGAAATTTGCGGCAATTGTGATCATGAGGATCGTATGCTTCTTTGTGATGGATGTGACCTAGGTTATCACATGGAGTGTCTTGACCCTCCTCTGAGTCATGTGCCAATTGACAATTGGTACTGTTCAGAATGTGACCACAACGCTTCAACCAACGCAAATGGTCCAATGGCTGAAGCGGTATGTTAATACATGAAGCTGTTGTTTTCCTCAGTCATAATACTGGCTTGTCAATCTAAACCATATGGCTCCAAATGGTGATTTTTTTCTAGGTGGACGTTGGCATTGATGAGGTTCGAGAATTGCTGGATGATGCTCAAAACCTAGTTGGTGGAGCACCTCTAACTCGTCGTGCGCAACGAATGCTTCCAAGAACACAGCAGATGGAGCGCGTCCTTCGTCGCATACGAACAACATTTCTCCAGAGACAGGAAGCTCTTCAATCTCAGGTATCATTTAATGGACTAACGAAAATAGGTATTATGTGCTAGTCACTTCATACTATGTTGCTGTTTTATTAAACAGCTATATTTGTTTCAGCCTTCCACATCATCTGGTATTGAGTCTCAGAGTGGAGAGCCAAAGAAGAAGAAGCGGAGGATTGTGAAGCGTAAATCAACTACTAAGAAGAAAAGGAAAGCCACTACAAAGCGTAAAACCAAACAAACATCTAAAAAGAAAAGCGCTGCAACAAAACGAACAACCAAGAAGAAAACTACAGGGAAAAAAAGGAAAGCAAGAAAACCTATTGGCAGCAAATCTAAAAGGATGAAGGTTTGTTCTGATGGCTGAAATTTAGTGATGTCTTCATGTGCTGTCTTTGACTTGAATGAAAATACTTACTCAGACTGTCGTTCTTAGATATTGCATTTGCATCTTTTAACATGTGATTTACGTTCTTAGACATACTGTGTGCATGGCTTTGTTTTTACTTTCTAATGCAATATCTCATACCTCTGACATAGAAGCAACACCATGCCAAGTGTTCAGTGTCATTCCATTTCCGTTTTATTATTTTTATTATTGATTTGACTAGTTTTTAATTTTCTTTTACAAAATGTCTCCTTTTTCTGTATGTGTTTCTTTCATTGGATTTTTAGTTTGACTTGACTTTTTAATCTTTCATCCTGTAATTATTTAGATAATTAGAAGTCACAGTTAATAAAGCTGCACTTTTGTTTTGGGACAGTTACTTGTTCATTTTTCATTTGATTACACAAGATTGGGTTCACAAATTTCCAAATCCTTAACATTTAAGTTGTGAGAATGGTGGAAATGCTAGTTTTGGTCCGCCATCCTACCCTCTACAAAAATGAAATACATTTGAAAAATAAGTTACATAAATTTGTGTGAGTGGCATAAAGCCTGGTTAGCATGTAGTTTGATTTTATTTCGTCCTCAGTGTCAAATAAAACTGCAGTATTGTTGGAAACTTATTTTTAAAATTTGCAGTTTAATTGTTCTATGCCTGAGCCTCCAGGCAAATTATTATTATTATTATTTTTTTGGAGTGTTTTGCTGACTGATCTCCTAAAGGTCTGCATGGAACAGCAGCATTGCTTATGATGAGAATATTGAACGAGTTCTAGTAGTATGTAGTTTCTCCTCAGATTGTTTTTTCGTGCATTGAGAAACTGTCCATGCCATGAACACTCCTATTTTTCTTCTTCTTCGACTTGTGTTACTGATCTGAGCTGATTCAATGATCATGAATAAGTTTTTCCTTTATTTTCCATGTTTAGCGATCATCTCGAAAAAATTCTCGGAGAGCCAGAGTTATCATACCTCAGTCAGTAAAGGGGAGGCTTGCTGAGCAGTTGGGTATGCGACCACCGCGTCAGCCGTGGCAGACAACTCCCGAGATAAGGTCAACTTCCAATGCATCAGGAATTGGATTGGAGAGAAGCCGTGCTGGAATACCTACCCTTCACCTGTTTGGTCAGGTCGACTATTTCTCTGGGTTCGTTTTTCTTTCTCTTTCTTGGAAAATTTTTGATTGGCGAATTGTATTCTGTTTGAGAAAACTTACGCTGTTGCTTTTGTTGCAGTTCTGATGAAGATGTTGGAAGTGGTGGTGGCGCTGCTGCTGTTGCTCATCGCCCCCGTGAAACACTGTCACTGGCTCAGCGATTACTCAATCGAAAGCGGCTTGCCGCTTCATTGCAGAATCCCAACAGGCGATCTCGAATAGTTGAACCTGTTGCTTCTGTTGGGGTTGACTTAGTGGAAAGCATTCTTATGAGTCAAACCAAAATGTTGTCTAAGAAAACGGATGTGAAGATCAACATTGATGGCACCTTAGATATTCAGTTGAAAGATCCATTGGTGAAACCAGCTTCATCTGACCCACTCAAGGAAAGATTAGGTGATACCACTATTGATGTGAGAGACATTTCGCCTTCATCCACTGGGCGTGTTGCTCAAGCTCCAATGTACTCTGGTGGGAGACGAGGTGGTCAAAATGCTCAAAACAACGCCTATAATCAGAATTACAGTGGTGGGCGGAGAAGTAGAGGTGGCGGTGGCGGCAGTACTGGTGGAGGAGGAGGAGGAGGTGGTGGTGAAGGTGGAAGTGGAGGAAATATGAGCAACTCCGGTTTTCGCTCTAGTTTTAATAACTCAGAAAATTCCCGTGCTCAATATGAACAGTTTTTGGGTAATAACCATAGTGGTGGACGCCCTCCCACAAGAAATCAACCACTAAGATTTCGTTTGAATGCCCCTCGGAGACCCCTGAGAAGAAATGTCATGAGGCGCGGAGCAGCTCCCACTGAGAATGATGAAGAAGAGGAAGATGTCCTAGATAATATCATGGACTGTAGTGGGCAGGACCCTGTCAAAGATGGTGAAGGTGGTAGGGAAGATGATGAAGTTGACATTTACAGTGACATAGAAGCTGAGAGCCACAGAGATGGCTCTGGTGAAGATGAGTTTGGAGCCCTACTTCCACCTCCTGAACCACCTGCCTTTTTAATGAATTTGGGTGACCAAAATAGTGATGAGGAAGCTAGTGACAGTGAACTTGTTATAGATGATAGAGCAAAAGGAGAGACAGAAGACAAATATGACCCAGCAGAACCATGTAACGATTCTGATGAGGATGCATCTGCCGCAAGTATTCCAAAAGCAGATGACATTCCTCTACCCCCTGAACCAGGACCGGCATTGACAGCTGTTGTTGGTTATTCAGATGACAGCCAGTCAGAAGGTACATCAGATAAGGACACTTCTGCAGAGACTAAATTGGACTCAAAGAATGCATCTAAAGAATCAAATGACCTTACTGTTGACTGTAGCAAAGGAGATGATGAGCAATCTATTACTACTTCAGAAAAGCTCAATAAATCTGATGCTGCTATTGTAGATGAGTCATCAGAGGAAGATGATGATGATAATGACTGTCCAAACTTTTCAATTTATTCTGCTGACAGTGTGAACATTGCAAGGCAGGTTGGAGATGAAGAATCTGATGATGACAAAAAGAAGGAAATCTCAGCTAAAGTTAGTGAGGAATCAAATTCAGGAACAAAGGAAGCAACTGCAGAAACAGATAATGAAAATGCTGATGACAGTGTGGATGTTGAGGATGCTGAAAAGAAAACTACAGAAGAGTCCCTACTTCAAGTGGACATTGAAAATAGTGAAAAGAAAGCACTTGAAGATAGTGCTGGGAGGGATGAGTCTGATGAGAGTGGTTCAGAAGAAGCCGGAAGCAACGATAGGGATGGCACAACTCTTGTTGAAGAAATATTTGGTAGTGATGAAGAAAGCCAAGCTACATCTACAGCTCCAACAGCACCTGTTATGCCAGGCTTAGAAGGGCTGGAAACAGAAGTTATTTCTGATTGTGAAGAAGCTATGCTGGATGGAGATCTAAGTGAAGCAGATAGTGATACAGGACGCCGAAGTCGAAAGATTGGAAGAGATGTTCCTGGAGACTCGGCAGATTTTGAAGATGGAGAAATAGTTGATGAAACTCAAAAAGGGAAGAAAGACAAGAAGAAAGATAAGAACCGTAAAGATGGTGATGAGAATATAGGCACAAGTAAAGCAGATGATGATAAGAAGAAACGAAGAAGAAAGGATAGCCCTTCTAAGGACCGAGCTCCACTAAGCAGTAGTGAAAATAGGAACCGAGAGAAGGATAAGGAAAAGGATAGAGACAGAGATAAAGATAAGGATAAGGAAAAAGAGAAGAAAAGGAGTAAAGATGACGATAGGGGCAAAGATAAGAACAAAGATGATATTTCATGGAAAAAACCATCAAAGAGCACCAAAGATAGAAACTATAGAGACGGCAAGGAAAAAGAAAAAGAGAGAGAAAGAGGTAAAGACAAAGACAAGGAGAGAAATAAAGATGACAAGAGAGATGAAGAGCGGGAAAATGCAAGGAAAGAGCGGAAAAAGAAAGAAAAGAGGAAAGATCTTGAAAGGTATGATGTTCGCAAAGTGCTTTCAGATAAAACGCTCAGTAGGCAGAATAAAGATGTCTTTGGGCGCGATCTGGACATCAGAAAACGTTCTCGCACTCCCCGATCTCGCTCCAAGTCTAGGTCAAGATCCAGGGGAAGAGGTGCTCGCTCTCGAAGCCGTTCCAGGAGCCACAGGAGAGCCGGACGTTCACGCAGCAGGTCCAGATCTCGTGGACGGTCGCCAGGACCGGCAGCAGGACGGTCTCGCCCAGCAAGACACAGGAGTGCTTCCAACGATCGCGCTCGACTTCGAAAATCTCGATCCCGTTCCAGATTACGAAGATCTCGGTCACGCAACAGGGCAGGTAACAGGTCCCGATCTCCGCGTCGCTCTCCTAACCGATCCAAGGACCGTCCAAGGAGGAGTAGAAGCAAGGAGAGACCAAGGAGGAGGTCTCGCGACAACAGGGTCGATGCTGCTGTCAATCGTCAGCGGAACGAACCGGCCGCTAACCAGCGTCCAGAAAGGCCAGACAGGCCTGAACGGCTGGAGCCCCGGCGGGAGCGCGAACGGGAGCAGATTCGTTGGTCTCGTTCGTGGTCTCGGTCTTGGTCAAGATCATGGAGTCCCTCCCTCAGTGGCTCTCCACAGTACCCTGCCACCGAGGATGAAGCTCCGGTGGCGCGTTCCTACTCCAGATCTTGGTCACGAGAACGTGTGGAACACGTCAGCACCACAGACATGGCTGGAGGCAAGCACAAAACGCACAAAAATTTGACTGTTATTGTTACGAATAATAAGGAAGATTCTCGCCGAAAAAGGAAAGATGGTAGAAGAGGAGGAAAGAGGCACGCATCACCAGCTCCTTCAAAGGAAGTGTTTGCATCAGGAGACAACATTCTAGTGAGTGTGAACTTCAAGTCAAATAAAGGTGAGCCATCTGCTACTACCTACCCTGCAGAAAAGCCTTCAAAGAGGAAGCGAGATGAGGGTCGCAGTAAGCGATCCAAGAAGGACAAGAGTAGTAGAAATGCAAGAGCTGAAACCCCACCAGTTGATTCTAACAAACCACCTGAAAAGAGACGGAAGCCTTTACCGCCAGAAGCCTCTCACAAACCTGTGGCAATTATCGACCTTGAACAGTCACCCTACAAGGAATACACACCCTCTCCCAAAGACTTGATTATTTTGAGTGACAGTGACGATGAAAATATGCAACAGACTGAGCAAGAGCTACAGCAGATGAAACAGAAACTCCACGATGAAATAAATGCTGTCCCTGAAGAACCTCTCTTAGCAATGGGTCCAAAAACTCCTCCTGAACCTCAGATTAAATTTTCTATTAATAATAAGAATTCGTTAAGAACAATTAATAATCCACTGATGGAAGAGGAGGAAGAAGAGGAAGAGGGGGAAGGGGATGGCACTGTAGGCAATGAGACTGGGACAGCTGATGCAGAAATTGACGGTGGTCACAAAGGGCCCAACACGCCACCCGAATCTCCTATGGGACCCACCACACCTGGATCTTCGCCAACATCACCGATGCTTATGATCCATTCGAACCTACTGCTTCTCCTAGATCAGAATCACCAGATGAAGGGTCTTGTGCTGATGGACCGACAGGAGCAGATAAGTCTAATGAATCTTTAGAAAATGGGTCCATGGGTGCTCGAACAGAAGACGATGCTAGACCAAAGACTGACAATGTGGAAGATGCTCGTGGCTCATCTCCCAAAGTAGATGGTGAAACAATATCTCCTGGTACCACAGCTCCTGAGATGGATGATGCGGATAAATCGAAACAAATGAGCCCCACTTCGTCTGCTGAGGCAGCCGCTGTCAAAGTGCCTTCAAAAGCTATGGCTGCTGCTGGTGGATCAACAGAAGTTACCTCTTCAACATCATCTTCAACCTCACGTTCTGCACCTCAACGAGCAGTTTCTCAGTCTGAGAGGCTGTTGGCTTCTGTTATTAAAGGGGCCTTAGCTATAAGACCTGCATCCAAGCCTGGCACACCGGTTAAAACAGTCCCTCGTCAAAATGGAGAATCAAGTGTACAGACAGATGTGATTGATATGGATCTCGACTCTCCATATTCACCTGGATCTAGTGAAGGAGATGACCTGTTTGAACCCCCACCTGTCTACAATTCCAGAGGGACACCTAGCAAATCGAAGTCGAAATCTGCCTCTGGAAATGCAAACAAGTCTGACAAGTTTGATACATTGTTTGGTAGCTCGCCTGTGCAGAGAGTGAAGTATGGAAATGTTTCTCGCTCCAAGTCCTCAGGGAAAAATGCAGGCCGTAATCAAGCCAAGCTCAACAAAATAGTAAAACACATAAGTAAAATTCGTAAGTATTGCCATAAATTTTACAACTTTTATCGAGGCTTTAACAAATTTTGTTTTTGTTTTTCTTCCTCTCTTTTTAAATTTAACATTGTGTTTTTTGTGGGTTCTCTAAAGGAAAAGATGGAACCATGAGAACAACGGATGAGGACCAGCTTAAAATTCTGGATGAAGTGCCAAGTTCGGCTGTTGAGATGCAGGTGAAGGACAAGGTAGACTTCGGCAACCCCATTTTGTTTCTTTGCATGAGTTTAGGCATAATTTTGCTACATCTTTTATTTTTGTTAAAAACAGCAGAAGGTGCTTTATAAAACTGAAGAGCTTTCTTAATGATTGACCAACTAATTTCTCCTCTTGACAATTTCTCTTTAGTATCCAAATTACTCCACTTGTTATTCAATTCACTATTTAATGCAGTCTTTGACTGGGTTTAATGTCTATCAAAGAAACAATTATGCTTAGGTGAAAATTATTGCAGTAGCAGTCATTCTTCTTTGTTGTTTTGCTTGTATTATAGTTTTGGGTTGCTGAGATACTTATTTTCTTTATAATTTGCTTGTCAAAAAATCTGGAATCTCTCAAACATACCACAACAACAATTTTTTTAGTTCTTATTTTATCTTCTATTTTTGTGGTACAGAAGCACTTCTTCAAATGTGAAACTAAAATCAAAACCAATCTTCAGATGGTGTGAAATGATTTGTTTCTCTTATTTCAGTTTTTAAAGAAACTTAACCGGCAAGAACGTGTTGTTGAGGAAGTCAAACTGGCTCTAAAGCCTCACTATTACAAGAAACACATTAACAAAGATGATTACAAGGAAATTCTGAGACGCTCTGTGCCAAAGGTAAGTAAGACACACCTCTCTCTCACTCTCTTTCCAAGCTGTGTGCTCTTTATTTCCTGCACCAGCTAGCCATGTATTAACCAAGTGTCAATATGGAAGTTTGAATTGAATTTATTTTGTTGTTTAGATTTGTCACAACAAGTCAGGAGAAATTAATCCTATTAAAATTCGAACACTCGTAGAGGCGTATGTGAAAAAGATTCGGTACCTGAAAAAGAAAGCAGCTATTGCGTCTGGGCAGCTTAAACCTAAGACGTAAGTAAGCCACTGCACTTAAAATCTTACTATTGTACAGATTTTATGTTTAACAATTTTCTTTTGTGATATCTAGGACCAAGAAGCAAGCAGACTGAAGAGACGAGTATTTATGATCCTTTCCACCAACTATGTAGGGTTGGTTATGACTGTTGCCAACACTCAACATACAGAAGGTGTGTGGACACTGGAGCTCTCAGGAAGTTACTTAGTTTTTCATTATTCTTGTTTGTTGTGTATAAAATAGGATGAATTTGTAACTGTCTTGTGTTCATTCCTCATGATATGTATTGTAGCAAAGTGTGTATCATAGGTGCATTGAGAACCCGGTCATGGTATTTATTTTGTACCATTGGTCTTGTAGTCCTGTAAAAAAAAAAAATATCGAAAGATTTAAAAAAATTGTCAATTTTAAATGAACTTAATATCTGTACAAACTTACTAGTATGTTTTTACACTTCATGACTTGAGTAAATTTGGCTAGCTTTACTCTAGCCAGAATAGTTTTGTTGAGCATAGGTAGCCCATTGTATTCAGTCAATTGTCAGTGTCGACTGCAAGTGTCAATATATTTTTCTTATTTGAGGTTGAGAGGAGCATGTGATTTTATTTGTTTACTGGCATTGGCATAGTTCTGCCAGTTTTATTGTGATTTTAATTAAAAACAAACAAAAAAACTAATGTCTAAAGCAATCATGTATGAGGCAGACTGCCAGCAATCTGTACATAAAGCAAAATGCTTCATATCAAATACTGTATGTAATTATTATTTAATTAAAATAAGCTTTAAAGTAGTATGAAGCATTGTTTCCGCTGTGAGTCTTAGATGAAGCAGTATTAATTTATTGGCATTGTGTCCACCACCAGACCATCATTGCCTTTGTTATCTTTTAAATAACAAACTATCAGGTACTGATTCTGATCAGATGAACCTTCACTATTGTGTACATAATATGTTTGGATGATTTGCATTTCCAATGTCCTGTTTTGAAATATTTATATAATTTTATTCAATAGTGATTTTTTTTTTAATTTTAGTTATGAGTAACAATATTGTATGAAAGTGATGGGATTTGTGGAAATAAAAAATCAACTCAGTTTTTTACTAACTACTTTCTATGAAAAACATGTAGTCAACACTACACACCGCTACACACGCCCAGTTCTGGTTCTACTCTACCGAATTGACTTGAAAGAAACCGGCTGAGTCCGACGTCCATGGTCCCCCGTTCGAATTTTATGAAATTGTTGCTACCCAACTTCCGCTCCAGAAGGAGAATCACGGGGAATGCTTGTGCGTTCAAAATTATGACGAGCCAAGCTGTGTATCATTGAGACTGAGTGTCTTAACCTTTTTTTAACAGAGCGATGAAAGTTTAATGTGGCTAATTTTTCAGACGCATAGCGGGCGAAATCATTGAAGAATATACTTGCTTAGTGTTGTTGGTTGGTTAACTTGCTAGGTGCTTTCTTTCCCTTCCGGCGCAGTGGATTGTAGCCTGTCATTTGTCAGGCGTCAGGCACCATCACAATCAAATTCGTCCCACGGAATCTATTGAATCTATCATCCAGTAAAATCTCATCCTCGTCTTTCAAAAGGAAACGAGCCAAATTTCAGTAAACGCGGTCTACATTTTTCGTCAGACCACATCAACCATGACAGCTTACAGGGTAAGTATGATAGAGATCCTTTTCTGAAGTCGACATTGTTAGTTGATTTGTAGGATCACCGGCCCGAATAGCACGCCCCCTTGAGGGGCGGTTATTTAACGTCGAGTGACTGAAGCAAGGAATTTCCATTATCAATGGATTTGAGACACATTATGCATTCGAGCTTAACCTATACCTCTATCAAGAATGAACACCTACATGAATAATGCTCGCCTTTCATAAAATCTTTTCTCTTTGATGTCATTCATGTTCTACAGTGACGTTAAATGTTTCTTTGCCAACAGCCAGTCGATTCAAAGAGGGAGGAGTATCGCAAGTACTTGGAACGAGCTGGCATCATGGAATCGTTAACAAGGGTTTTGGTTTCCTTGTATGAAGAACAAGACAAAGGAATAGATGCTTTGGAGTATCCTTTAAATATAGAACTTAAGAGTCCTGTCTTCCTTCAATAGTTGATAATGATAACATATGCAATTGATTTGAACCTTAACTTTCTTTAAGATATGTGCGGAGCCACCTCATGGAGAATCACCCAAGTCAGAATGCTAATGAGGAAGAACTTCGAGCACAAATTTCAAGACTTGTCTCTGAAAACAATATGCTTCGCAAACGTCTTAGTCAATATGAAGATGTTCCCCCTCCCATAGCAATTGTGTCGCCTATGAAAACACTCTCTCTTCAGGACACTGATCCTGGATCAGCACACACTGGGCAATCCAAGACATCTGCTCAACATGGCAGCTCTCCATCTGAAAAGCAATCTGAACATCCACCTTCCACCACTTCAAGTCAAAAGGAAGAATAATGTGCAATCCATTTTGGAAACTCCTGTGATATTTGTAACTAAGACTTTATTGTTTATTTCTCAGTTAATGTGTATTGCCAAGCAAGTTGCTGTGCCGCATCTTTGCACATCTCGGCAATCTAGTTGCAAATAGGAACATTGAGCATTCACTTTTTGTGACTTTGGCTCTTGGATTATTAATTTTTGTTTTCCGTATGTTTCGGTTGAACTTTGAGTATCATTTCCCTACAGTTTGTTTGGAGCAGAAAACAAATTCACTGTCAGTGAAGTCACTGGATTCTACTCAAATTTAGTTCCATCCCCCGCGTGCAGTTTTATATCTGCAGCAGAATGGTTTTATTTTCATGCAAGTATGTTGGGCTTTTGTTAATTTACTTTCGGAAGGGTAAGCACCTTAATGTAGGTGCCTCAAATTAAATTTTTGGCAGGAGTTTTTGTAGTTAGAACTTTCACTTGAAAATAGAAAATTAACAAGTAGCAAATAAAAGATTTAAGTTGGAAATCTGCTGCATTTTCCCCCCTCCAATTTCGGAAGTGAGTTGGGATACAAACACTCATCATTTGTTAAAATACCAACATTATTTTTAATACAATATTACAGAAAGCTGAGCATACAGTTACTAAACATTTTTAAATAAAGCAAGAGTTCATAAAGATACTTCACTGATAAGATTTGAGTTAGTTCTGTTCAGACAGTACTCAATGAATACATCTGATGAAAGTGAATGGCAATATAATAGTTTTCAAGGAATATGAGCAATAATAATTTAAATCAAAATCAACAAGACACGCAGTGAATAGATGTGAAACCATGGAATCGCAGATCAAGGAGCAGCTTTAGCTGCCTGTCTTCGTTTTACATCCCAATTATAAACTCTTGCCATGTTGACCTCAGTGGTGGTGAATTGGTCCCTGCAAATAAATATTTAAGTTAGGCGACTAAAAAAACTCCAAATTTATAAATAAAAGAAATGGAACATGAGACTAAACCTGAGGAAATGTAAATCGTGTTCCACATATCCTAAATTCTTCTTGGCTTGCTCAATATTTTTGGAGAGCAAATTCTTGGCATCATCCAATGTGTACTCCAACATGACATTGGCCTGTGAAGAGAGATTTCATAAGTAAACCACGATATACACATGACAACTGAAGATCAGAAACTTACCCCAAGCCAAAGGCAAACTTTATTTGTAGGTGCAATAAGCGCTTTCATATAGACTTGATCTGAAAGTAGGAATTGTGTCTCCATATCTTCTGTGGCATCTTGCTTTTTTTGAAGCATAACAATCATTTTAAGGGACTTCTCCAAATCTGGTATTTGATTCTTAAGTCTAAAATAAATAGTGAAAAGGAACAAAATTACATCAAAGAAAGATGGGTGGAGTATCTCAAGAACCCAACTTACCGCCTCTTCTTCGATTCCAAGTTGAATTCCATAAATTTGTATTTTTGATGCTGCTCATCCAATCTCTTTAATACCTTGTCAGCATTTTCATTTTCAGACTGCGTCATAAATTCATCAATATTGTCCTGAAAACAACACAGACTATGATCATTTCTGGATAAGTGCAAAAGAGAATTCACAAATCAACATGTGGATGTATAGAGTGCCATCTAAATTAATAAATTTATTCATGTCAGTGTGAAAAATGACTGACATGAAGATGCCACAGCAAGAAAACTAAGACATTGTCGAAGCAGTCGTAGAGTATCAAACAATTAACAACACTCACAACAAAAACTGCTTCTGGAATTCCAGCATAGGACTTCTTCGGGTCATTGTCGATACTTTCTCCGTCACCCGACATTCTCCTGAAATAAACCGAACAAATGGTAAATTTTGAGAAGAAACTAGTACCGGTTGGTCGCCGTATGAGTGAGGTTAGCAAATGTGCCATTCTAATTATTAATGACCCTAACACTGACTGATGCAGACAAGATTCAACTAAACAAGTTCAAGAGAACCAACGAAGGATGGGAATGAAAATCACTGTCATAAATACACAAACAAGTCAAATTCACCTGAATCTTGTATCTCTAAAGAGAAGGTAAAACTAAAACACACACACACTTCTTTCTTCTGCCTCCCCTCTCTTTTTCTTTCTTTCTCTCTCACTTTGATTCCACTCTTCGCTCTTCTATCTGTCTCTCTCTTCTCTCCCTCTCTGTTCCGTGCCTCTCCTCTTTCTACGGCTAAAGCTTCTGCAGCCAAATCTCAAAGAAGAAGAAGAAAAAAACAATAGTCAAGTTCGTACTTCATTTACATTAGTTTACAGCAATTTTTTCATAAAAAATGTAGAATTGCTCAAATTTTTTGTTTATAATTACAAGAATTGTTTTCTCCTCCGTTTACTGCTTTAATTTAGAGTTTGCGTAGCAGTGAAGTGATTCACCACAAGTACCCTTCTTGACCAATGTCAAGATGATATCCCCTTCCGGTCCGGCACTCAGTCCTCCATTTTGTACGTTGTGATCTCTACCACGTCGGGTTCAACGGAGGCACCATGAGGTACGGCGTTTGTCCCCGCATTTTCTGTATTTTTGTGCATATAGACTTCGTTAAGCTTCAATTTTGTTTACGCCCCATTCATGTTATATGAATTTTATTATTTTGATCAATTTTGGGACTTAGATTACCTCTTATTGCGCGTCTGTCGTGCGAATCAGGGGTACCCTAACCACATGTTGTGATGGTGTGGTCGTCTATACCGAGCGTATTTCTCTGACGCTCTCAATTCAGGATTGCTCATCTGTAAATTTGATAAGTTTGCGCTCTGTGCCGTTAAAGTACCTGGCCAATGTTTGAAGTAATGAATGTTTCTATGTCCTGGATCGGCTCCACAGTAGTGCGAGTGCGTGTACTCGTCTCTTTAGTTGAAGTGACGAATCTTAATTTATGGCTTTGTCGGTTTTTTGTTCGCGATGACACCCCGCGCTCGAATTGGAACCAGTGGCTCTGTGTGACGGTCAACTATGTAGCAACCGCACCTTGTTTACCTCTTGACATAACCTAGTCCCCTGCGTACGTAGCTTAATTGTGTCATGTTTTGTTGCAGTTCCCTGAAGCTTCAGAAGCGGCTTGCCGCTTCGGTTATGCGATGCGGCAAAAAGAAGGTTTGGTTGGACCCTAACGAAACTAACGAGATCGCCAATTGCAACTCCAGTAAGTGATATATGTCATTGGTGGGCGAGTGTTCATTGCCTGGAATGATGTTGACATTTTTGACTTTCAGGACAAAACGTCAGGAAGCTGATCAAGGATGGTCTTATCATCAAGAAACCCGTCGCCGTACACTCCCGTGCCCGCGTCAGGAAGAACACTATTGCCAGGCGCAAGGGTAGGCACTGTGGTTTTGGTAAGAGGAAAGGTACCGCTAACGCCCGTACTCCCCAGAAGGTATGCACAATGTTTTCTGTTTTTGTCTTGTTTTGTGTCCCACTATGAAAGATTTTTAAACGTGTGGTATTGTTATGTAGGATCTGTGGGTGAACCGTATGCGAGTTCTCAGACGGCTCCTCAAGAAGTACAGGGAAGCTAAGAAAATTGATAGACATCTGTACCATGCTCTTTACATGAAGGCTAAGGGTAAGTCATTCATTCATCTGTTTGTTTGGGGGAGGGTTTGTAAACATGTTCATTAACGCCATTCACTTCCTCTGTATCTAGGTAACGTTTTCAAGAACAAGCGTGTCCTGATGGAGTACATTCACAAGAAGAAGGCAGAGAAGGCCCGTACTAAGATGTTGAAGTAAGTACAATTGTTCCCTCTTTGTGTTGGCATCCTTAGCCATTGATATGCTTCAAACTCAGTAAAAATGTTTATCTGAATTATCATATGTCCCCTCTCTGATAAGGGAAGCTCCTCATTCAAAGTTAATGAAAATAATATCCCTATGTCCTGGAAAGAGGCATTGTATTTGGGTTGTAATTTTACCATCTATTTCAATATGATAGGCACCACTAATGATGAATGACTTGATTGATTTCCAGTGATGCTTCATAAGTACAACGCTGATGGTCCTATCATAATTAATATTGTTTTTAAGTTCAGCTCAGCATGTTGAATGCTGCTGGGAAGTACATATGGTGGAAAATTCATATTAGGGACTTTTCTTAAGGCTGCATCTTTATTTCACTATATTATGCATTAAGCATTTGAAACAATTAGTGTGACTGAATTTCAGTGATATACATATAATTTTTTTTTTTAATTTGAAGTTTTTGCCTAGCTAAGGGTGCATCTCAAATTGATAGGTACTGCAAATGATGAACAACATGATTGATTTCTAGTGATGCTTCTTAAGTACAACGCTGATGGTCCTATCATAAATAATTTTGTTTTACGAGTTAATCTCAGCTTATAGAGTGGCTGACTTGGATTGCTATTTCTAGGATATAAACCCTTTTAAGACAGCTCTTTGGTGTGATACTAATAACTAATTTCCATGTTACAGTGACCAGGCCGAGGCCCGCCGTACGAAGGTCAAGGAGGCACGCAAGCGAAGGGAAGAGAGGATTGCCCAGAAGAAGCAAGATCTTTTGCAATCGTACCAGGATGAGGCTGTTGTTGCCAAGAAGTAATCTGTCATAAGTTTATTAAATGAGGCTTCTCACAAAAACCCATGTCTTGTGTCCTCCTTCCATCCTTCCCTCCCCTTTTAGATTTAGTTTCAAATGACCCCTATTATACGGACTGGGCTTTTGATTTGTGGACTACTGCATAAGGCATGGCAACCTTGTACGTTGCTGGTTCAAAATTGGCTAAACTAATTTCACGGTGAACAACCTTAAATTGATTTTTAAAAAATGGCATCTTAATATTGTGACACGATCTAGGGTACACAGCACAATGCTCATCTTGAGTAAATCGTCGCATATCACGAAGCACCGCTTGATTGCGCTCTGCTACAGTGCCAATTATTGGCTTGCTGCCATGTCAACGAGGGGCGGCCCAGGACAGGCCTTGCCGGCGCGCGCGTGCCGCACTGGCCACTTTCAACTTCCACCATGTTTAGCGGCGTCCTGCAGACGGAGCTGCTGTCTATACTTTACAGCTGCGGGAGCAAACCGCTGGCCATATGGGAGAGCAAGGTGCATAGCAAATACTCGCAGTGCCCTAGGTTGGCTTGTTAGGTTGCCGGCCTGTACGGCGCTAGATTCAAATTGCCGCGCACCGAACGGGCTATCTCACCAAATTCGAAAATAATACGCATGGCGGCATGCTGAGGGCAGACCGTTTCGGGTCACTTGGATTCATTGTTGGCGCAAGTGTAACGCATGCCTTGCGGTCCCACTGCGGAGGCAGGCTAGGAACGGGCACATCAAGCGCATCACCGACAGCGACATCCGCAACTCGCTCGTCCTGGAGCTGACGGGCACCAACGTGGCGACGACCTACATCTCGGCGCCAATCAACCCGCACGCTTCCCTGGGCATCAAGCTGCCCTTCCTGTGCATGGTCATCAAGAACCTCAAGAAGTACTTCAGTTTCGAGATCACGGTAAAGACGCGGCCCCGCGCTGGCGTAGGGTGTGCAGTGGGGCGCCACCCCGACTTTGACGTCCTTTCTTTACTCGGATCGGATTGCCAGATTCTAGATGACAAAAACATGCGGCGCCGGCTGCGCGCCAGCAACTACCAGTCCACGACGCGGGTGCGCCCCTTCTGCTGCACGATGCCGCTGGGGCTGACCGAGGGCTGGAACCAGGTACACTGGGCAAGGGAGGCACACTGGGGAGACAACACCGCAAGTCCCTTACTCGCCACCTTTGCCCGCGACAGATCCAATTCAACCTGGCCGACTTCACGCGGCGCGCGTACGGCACCAACTACGTGGAGTGCGTGCGCGTGCAGATCCACGCCAACTGCCGCCTGCGCCGCATCTACTTCTCGGACCACCTGTTCTCCGAGGCCGACCTGCCGGACTCGTACCGCATGGGCCACGCCGACGACGCGGAGCTGCACCGCCAGCACATGATGCACCGCCAGCAGGCCATGCAGGCCAGCATGCTGCAGCAGGAGCAGGACATGATGCAGGCCCAGCAGCCAGCGAACGCCGTCGCCTGAATCCTGTCGGGGAAGAGCGACGGAGCGCCCTGTCTGAAAACGGCAACTGAAACTCCCTGTGCATTTCGTTTCTAGCTTTTAGACTCCTCTGTACGAATAAAGACAACGCCAGGACCCCGGCTTCATTGTGTGTGCAAACGTAACAATAGGGGTGGGTGCCAGTTGGTGACATTGCCATAGAAATGAAGGATCGGCGCCAGCCTGCGACCTAGCCGCCTCCAGTCCCCACCGACATGACGGAGGAACTTCCAGCAGGTGTGTCTCTGCGTCTCACTCGAACTCTCCTACAGAACACACTGAGGGAGCGGGAGACAGAATGTCAGAGCGACGAAACGACTCTCCGGTGCGCGAGAGCCCCTCGGCGGTAGGCCGTCGGCCGCCACGGGTGTGCGGCGGGCTGGCCTGCCCTCGCTTCCGCAGGCGTTCGCAGTGCTCTCCCTCCGACCGCAGGTCCGCCGTCCCCCGTGCGGACGACGTCGCGGACGCCCTCTTCCAGGCAGGATGGCGCGGACGGCGCGACCGGGGGGTCGGGATCCGGCCGAGAGTCCCTGCCTGCCCGTCCGGTGGGGTCCGCCACCGGGTCGCTCCCGGGCAAGGCGGCGGGGTCCGCGACAGAGCAGGCGAACCACGCCGGGTCCACGGCCACCAGCACGACGACGAGGTCCTCTACGTCTCGGAAGGCGTCCACAGTCTCGGCGGCCACAACGGGCTCCAATTCGCGGAGCACCCCGTCGAGGAAGTCGTCGTCCTCCGGAGACACGACGACGACGTGCACGACGTGCAGCTGGACGGGCTCCAGCTCCGGGACGACCTCGTCAGGAGTGACTTCGTCCGGGACTCGGCGCAGCAGCAGTGTGTCCGGGGCCTCTGGCGACCCGTCGCTGGGTAAGCGCTTTTCTCGTCGGCCCCCTTGGAGACAAGTCCGCCAAGCCCTCGTGCGGCTGTGTCCCGCTTCCAGGGTCGGACTCGGAGTCCAAGAGCGAGGCCAGCCGGCAGTCCGTTGCCGTCGTCGAGGGGGTGCTGGACCTGGGCCGCGGCAGGCGCAAGGACGTGCTGTACGACCTGCAGGAGGACGAGGAGGGCGAGGGGCTGGAGGACGGCGCCAAGGAGGCGGAGGCATCGAAGAGGACGCCGACGGCCAGCCCCGCGGCCAGCTGGTCGGGCAGCGAGGCCGAGTGGGATGACGAGAAGTGGGTGAGTCTGCAGTGTGATTCGAGCCCATCCGAAGCCCGACCTAGTTTTCAACTTTCCGGCGGAAAGTTGGTTCGGAAAGAGAGTGAAAGGTCAACACGCACGCAGCTCGCTTTCGCTGCTTTCGTCTGGTTTGTTCGAATTACACGGAATTAGAGGTCGTTAGCGGTGAAGCGTGCCGGGGATGCCGGGGCTGACGGGGTGGGGGAAGCGGCCCGCCCTCCGTGCACTTCCGTGACGCGTCGCCGAAGCTTTTCTTCTGCAGAACACGACGCCGTTTACCCTCCTGTTGTTGTCGACGACAAGACTACCCTTTGCCAACACGCGTCTGCCAGCGCGGCGAGCTGTTCATGTTGCCCGCAACCCTGTTCAGGACATCTTAGCCGATCTCAGCGGCATTTTGAAGGACCGTTTCGCCCTCACTCGCCCCTACGGGACGCGCCGTGAGTAGGACAGAGGCAGAGCGGCGAAACGATCCTTCGGAACCAGGCCCGGCCGATAATAACTTACTTGTTATCGGATCGACCGAGGTCGCGGCCCGGGGTCGCATGCGGGCCAAGCCCGGGCGGTTTCGGAAGGGGTAAGGGCGGGCTGTAAGGGCGGCAGGGGCCCGGGGCCGGGGAGGGCTTCCTCCAGACACATGGCGCGGGGTGCGGGGCGGGTTGCTCCCGTCCCGACGTGCCCGTCAAACGAGCAGCGGGCTCCGTCGAGGCCGCATGTCGCGGCGCAGCGGGCGCAGCGAGAGCCCAGGTCCGTGAGAGGTGGCAGAACCCACTGCAGCGACGCTGTCGTCACCCTGCCTCTCTCGCACTCACGGGGCGTCCCTTGCAGGCGCGAGAGAGACAGAGCGGCGCGGAGGCCACCCTTCCGACACCCGGTGCTGCGGGATGCCTATCTCAGGCGTACCATTCCTGTCTCTAAACGTGTCGCCCGCGTGCCTTGCAGCTCCAGATGGCGGACCACTATGACGCCCAGCGCCGCCCGACCACCATGGCGGGGTGGGAAGGGCGCAAGCAGAAGTTCCCGGAACTGTTCCGAAGCGACGTCAGCATCTGCCCCAGCTACTCGCAGTACCAGGTGCCCTAGTAAGTCCGACTCTTTTGGCAACTTAGTCCGCCAAGTCCACGCGGGTGCGAGAGCGACAGAGAGTCAGTCCTCCCGGCCCTGCGGCCTGCTCCACGGAAGGTGTAACAAAATGTGCCAGGCCCTTCCCTGCCGACACCGACATGCACATGTAGGTCAATCCGATAGTTCGGCTCCGCGCTCCGCACCGGCCCGGGCCGATCAACCCCAAAACGCCCACCCGGCAGATCAACTTGCAGGTACTGTCGCGGACGGGCGTACCCTCGTCGCTGTCTCTCTCGCACCCCTAAGAAACGCCCCGCGAATGCGACAAAGTGAATTCGCCGGCCGCGTGCCTGCACGCACGCGATCCGACCTCCAAACCCCCAAGCGCTCGCCATCCATAAATAAAGCTTCAAAAAATAAAATAAAACTGTCGGCGGCGTCGCGTGATGCTCCCTGTCGCGGTGTCGACACATCGCTCGCACGCACGCGAGGCCACGAGGCGAGGCGGAGGGTGGCCGTGGTTATTGGGCACGCCGTGGCGTCGCCCCGTCATGCGGCGCGAGGAATCCATACGGGGAGGGAAGGCCAGGCGAGTCGAAGCAGAGGCCAGAGACGGCGGCAGCTTCATTCCGGACAGTGTTCTCGTCGCTCTGCTTCTCTCGCACCACTTCAAACAAGACAGCCACTTTTCCTGCCTTCTTCACGCCTAGCCCTGTGTCTGGTCGGCAGCTGGTCCGTGTGCCGGCGGCGCTACGCGGCCTCCATGCGGCGCATCAACCGGATGCTGGCCGAGGACATCGAGGACCTGGCCCTGCTGCAGACGCGCGCCCTGGACGGCGTGCGCGTGGTGCGCTGCTTCAGCCTGGGCGCGCGGCCCCACCCGCCGCCCCCCGACCCGCTCACCAGCAAGCAGCGGCGCCGCGTGGAGCAGCTGCTCAGCGGCCAGGTCTGCTAGCCGCGCCGGCCGCACCCCCGCGGGCCGCCGACCGAACACGTTTCACGAGGTGGAAGTCTCCAAGATTGAGGGGAAAAAAACTTACATGAAAATAGAGCTGATGAACCTTTTATTACAAATGATTACATTTATCAGCCCATCCACACCAGAACAATTTTCATACTTCTCAGTTGATGTTAGTTGAACAATTAAGAAGGCATACTCTTAATATAGCCAATGATTTTTGAAACCAAATTTGTATGCGTCAGTATGTTTAAATAAAAAGTCACTTCTTTGTACTTTGAATGTACCTCTCAGAATTCATGCAGCAGAATTAATATCACAGAAGATTCTATGGGGGAAATGCAGAATTTGGCAACACTTCCAGATGTGCAATTATGAAGCTGCAGAGGGAGCTACAAAGTTTTGGAAGCCAAACCATGGCAAAGGCACATGAAAAGCACACTTCACATTAAAGTGTAAAATGTTTACTTTGAATAGAAAACAATAAAGATCTAATACAGAATTCAATCTATGTTTGAATCATCCATTCTATTGTCATCATCTCCTTCAGCATCATTTTCCTTTTCATCAGCTTCCATTCTTAAACTGAAGTCATCTTCACCACCAATACTTGCTTTTTTAGATTCGAACCTCTGAAGTTTGCCAGTAGACTTTTCCCACATGCATTTTAAGGTAACATGGAATTCAGCCATAGTGCGACCAAGTAATTTCTGCGAAAAAAGGAGCAAACCATTAAAACTACTCACTTAAGAACTTAAAACTTTAGCCTCTTTGGAATTTTACTCACCAGTATGCGCGCTTTTTCTGGGGTGAGAACTGAACCTTTCTTACAAAGTTGATAATCCTGAAGTAATGTGACCACTCCCCGCTGTAGACTGGTTGGCATTCCCCACTGCCTTAACTGTGGCTCCATAGCAAATGAAAACTCTTCAAGAGGGCCAGCAGGCAATACAACATCCTCAGTTGCCACAAAACCAGACCGAGCAAAGTCTGGCTCTCGGAAATTTTTAAAGAAGTCAACTATTTCATGTTTGCTTTTGTTGGTGAAAAGCAGGCCACATTGGCTAACTAATCGTTTGGACAACTTGTGTAAATTTGGGTAGAGTTCATCTGCCTTATTCCTTCCAAAGCCTAATTGCATAATTTTGTTCTTGCCGAAGTAAAATCTAGGAGAAAATAGAAACAAGGATATAATAATAAATTTGAACGGGAACCAAGAATCAGTAAAATGTAAACAATTTAATACCTGCTGTCGTCCCTCCAATCATTACGTAGATCCTTCAGCTTGGTGTTCCTCATATTCTCCACAGAAAAGACAAATATTCTTTCATACTGTTCAACGCATTGCCTGAGTTCTTCTATTTTCTGCTGCTTGAATTGAAGATCCTTTGGTTTGGTCTTCGTAAGGGATACTGCAATGAGAGAAGGTACACAGAACATAAACAATTAGCAAATGGAAATGGAACCATGGGGTACAGTAAGAAGATGAAAATATGATTGAAGAGTCATTTAAATAATCTTTAAACCATCTTTGAGATTAATGACAATGATAAAAATACTTCAGTTATTATGAGGTTATGAATCCTACGGAATGCATGCGCTACAAGAAAATGAACAAAACCTTACTTTTAACGTCTCTTTTAGACTTCGGCATGTTGAGAGACTCTTAAAAAATTCACAGCTGAGTATCTATGAAAGTTCGATCCTTCGAACGGAGGCGTTAAATTTATGAAATGTGCAATTTAACAGACACCATGTGCGTTGACGCACGACAAAACATAAAAGAAATCTCGAATTGAGACGATCGACTGAACTCAAATTTCGATTGTTTGAAGTCGATACTGAGCCTTAAAACGCTAAAGCGCCACTTCAGCGTCTGTTACAAAACTGTTTTGGTTCCAATGATTTACAAAAATCATACTCTTCTTATAAAAAATATTTTTTAATTCTGTTTGGCTTATTTCAACATATTTCGATGAATAATGGAGCTATCGATCCATGAGGTTCGATGACTCGGTCTGCTAAGGGCAGTTTCGAAGTGACGGGATGTTAAAATTGGAATTAATACGTCAGTAATTTGTATGATTCGAAAGAAGTGTGATCATCTAGTGAGGGTGATCAAAATTCTAGATCTTGCTGAGCCTGTTATGGGATTGCCATCACAATGACGGTCGACTTCAGTGATTACTTCTGGGTAAGCCCAACCTGTTAATGAAATCTTGTTTACGTTTACTTTTGCGTCTTTTGACTTTCCTGGAGCGTCATTTAGGATAGTATTTTGCATGGGTTCCTCGCGGCGATGGAAGGTCGCTTCCGTTCACTTTGCCGAAGCTTGTTTTTTTTTGCCCCTGCTTGGTTAGGATCATCAGTCAGACAAGGTGAACTTGCCAATTGTTTTTAATTGAATGGGCGGTGGCTTTGAACATTCATCGACCAGAAACCCTGAGTATTAAACCTAATTTTATCAATCGCTCATACTGAACCGGGGAACATTAATTGCGGCAGGTTTTCGCAGTTGCCCTATTCTTCATCAATTGTGTTAGGATTTATTTACATGAGTTGTATCTTTCTTGATTATATTCATAGTTTTCTGCAAATTTTTCTATTTTAACTGGCACACTTTGCTCGTGGGTCTGTATGGGTTCTACTGTATCAATGTCAGAAAGGTGCCACTCTCCATTTGGATGCAGTGACACTGTTCCATTTCTTAATCTTTCCTTGTTTTCCTGTTTAGGGGGAGAAAAACAATGGGTTTGATGTTCTGTACCACAACATGAAATATGGCCTCACTGCAAGTAAGGAGTTTGCAGATTTCCTGCGTGAAAGGTAAGTTAATCTTATCATTTTCTGAGCCATCACTCAATTGTAAGTGTTTTTCTTGTCTTGCTACAGATCATTAATTGAGGAAAACAACTCTAAGATGCTTGCAAAACTTGCTAAGCAGGCTGGAACAGGATGCATCAATGGAACATTTGCTCCAGTATGGCAAGTTTTGCGTACATCTGCAGAAAAGTTACTCACACTTCATGTTCAAATGGTTCAGAAAGTGTCAGAACTGGTAAAAGAGGTGACAAAATATGCTGATGATCTGCAGAAAAAACACAAACAGGTAATTAAATATAAATTGATAGCAATCCTATGGAATATTATTTCTTGCCATTCTCATGGCTTCAAATATTAAAATTTACAGGTGAAAGAAGAAGAAGGTGGAACATTAGAAGTTGTACAAGCAATCCAAGCAACAACTCTTACATTGCAAAAGGTTAAAGATTCCTACTTACAAAAGAGCCAGGAATTAGATCGATTGCGTAAAGAAAATGCATCACCACGTGATTTAGAAAAGGCAGAGGTGAAACTTCGTAAGGCACAAGAAGAATACAAGGCTCTTGTTGAAAAGTATCATGTTATCAAAGAAGATTTTGAGAAAAAGATGATTACGGCCTGCAAGGTTAAAAACTCTCCATTTCTCTAATTTCTACTTGTAAATTTTGGAACTTTATCATAAATGTGGCCCTTTCTTCACAGAAATTTCAAGATGTTGAGGAATCACATTTAATTCAAATGAAAGATTTCTTATACACTTATGCTGAATTATTGCAACAAAACCATGAATTGATTGGTCAGGTAAACATGATTGATTGTGAAGCCGTAAACATGATTCAGCATTTTTGTCTATGTTGAATCCCCCATCTCTTAAGACTAGCTTGTTGCAGATTTTGAGTGACTTTAATTTTCTACCCTTAGGTTCACCTAGATTTTAAGAGACAGTGCCTAGAAATGACTGTGGACAAATTGTTAGAACAATTTGTTCTTGGGAAATACACAGGATTAGAAAAACCTGGTAGGTTGTTTCAAATTTTTTTAAATATCTTATAGAATATGGTTAGCTTTTGTTCCTGTTCTTCAATGTATGCGTGTGTGCTTACAGGCATCATCGATCTTGAAGACTTAAATATTCTCAATACTACACCTTCTTCGTCCAGTAGCCAGCTCAAGAATGTTGTAGGGGATAGTTCTGATAAGGACACAAGCAGTAAGGACGACGGCAATAAGAGTTGGAAGCGTGAAGGTAATGTGGATAATATTGGACAGCCTCCTGGGCAGCCTCCAGGCCAACCACTGGGCAACTCGCAGGCCAAACCTTCCCGACGCACCACCTCCCTCCTGAACCTCTTCATGTCTAATTCACAGGGTATGTTGTAGTTGTGGTGTCTGTACTTTGGAAAATATTGTTAATGTGTGAAACTTTTATTTATGTGTCTCCTGTTTTGTTACATAGTGGGATTGTCATGCTTTGCCCTTCATTTCAGTGTTTGAATTCTGTATCTTTTCTCTGTGCTGGAATTTTAAGTGTCTTTATGTGTAGATGCTTATTTTATGTCAAATTAAAATCATGTGGGGTTCCCTTTACTTCAATGTGAGCAAATTATTTGTGGTGCAGGTTAGAAATGAATTCTTAGTTACAGTAGAAATGTAGAGCAAACTCAGTACAATAAGAATATATGTTTGTTAAGTCTAGAGTAACATTCAATGTTGCCATTTTTAATTTAAATATTTTTTTAACCTCATTAGGTATAAAGTTGGTTTAAACTTACAGTTCGGTACATAGTTTCACCAAAGTTATACTAATAAATTAACAATTTTACTCCAGTAACAATTTGAGGGGCCCCTTCATCGACTTAAAGTGATTTGCTTGTGGGTACAGGAGTGCAAGAGAAACTATAAGCTAGGTGCTTAGTGCATTCGATGGTATCTTGGGGCGATGCAGTAGCCGTACCTTGTGTGTTTCAGGCAGCAAGGAGAGTAGCGGGCATCCCGACGGCGGAGGGCCCGGGGCAGGGGGGAGTCAGGGCGCCGATGTGGCCACCCCGACATCCGCCCCTACCAGCCCCGGTGCCGATGCTGGTATCACCACGCTCGCTCGCAACCCTTTGCGCGGATCCAAATGTAATCCTTTACTCCTCTACCGTTTGTCTCACCTTACTGTTTTGTTTAGTGGCTTTGTGGTCTCTGCTTTGCATGTCATTTGATGTGTGGCCAACATGTGTGACTGGACATTATTCTTTGCAGTAGGAGCATCCAGAGCAGTTCTCTGTTTGATAGAAAAATTGGTTGGTTGTGAAAGATGCAACCAAGTGGTTGCCGTGACCCAAGTTTTCTTGGCTGGTCAATTAATACCACCCTATTTTGAATTTTTTTATTTTCTGAATGCTCCTGGTGCGATTAGAAATATTTTACTGTGTTTACTGACTACCACATATTCTCAACCTTTAGGCAGTGGTATTTTGCTCTCTTGGTGATGGAGACATTCTGATTAGGCTTTTGCATGTAGTTTCAATTTACACCTATGTACTTGAGCACCGTTCGGCTAAACCTGTTTAAAATTGTGTTTAACATTACAGTCACCAGTATTTATTAACTGCATGCCATTTCTGTTCTAGTACAGTATGTCACATTGGTTGCAGAGCTGGTACTCTCTTTGGAAACATTTAATATTTTGATCAGCACCAGCACACAGTTTGGGTAAATGCAAGCTGGTCAATTGCACTGCTTTTTCATATTTGAAACAATGATAGCATGGAACATCAATTAATAAATGTGCAACAGGAAAAGGGCAACATGACAAGAAGCTTGTTAATGGTGTAGATCTAGACTTGTTGGGACACATGCGTTTGTCTTCCATGCAATCAATATTTTAGCTCATAAGCCTTAACATTTTCTTTACAGAACTTCTGCACACAGGCATACCTAGTAATTAGACACTGTTTCTGTCCCTTATCCCCCGTAATCCTTACCTAGTCGGGTAGTTTGCCTGCTTTGTTGCCTGGTGCTTTGGTTTGTGGGGTGACAGCACAGTTGCACCCTTATTATTGTATTTGTTTATTGTAATGTACTCACTTAACTGTTTTCTACCTGTTTATTAATCTGTGACACAGTGCGAATCTACTTTAGTATGTACTTACTGTAGGTATTTTAAATTTGCTACTTATTATAAATAGTTGCTGAGGTACTTAAATCTAGGATAGATGATATTTTTTGTTGTCTGTTTCTGAACAATGTGTGCTGTCAAGCTTATCTTCAGTTTTTTTTTTTTTTTTTTTTTTTTTAGTTTTTGTGTTTAGATGCCAGTTTAAGTTTTTTTTCATCAGACTTGTTTGTCAGCATCCCTATTTATTTTTGCAGTATTTGCTCTAAAGACATTGGTCCATTTTATCAAATCAGTGTACCCAAAATGTGTCAATTAACCTAAATGTTCTTTTATGGTTTCAAGGCAATGTTTTAAATCTTGGTGGAAGGATGAGCTGCTTAACTAGCTGTTGCACTGATGAGTTGATTTCTTGCATTCATGGATGTGTTGAAGGCGATGGAGTCTCTCCTACGGCAAATCGATCTCCGGTCTCCAGCCTCTCATCCTGGACGACAGGTCTTTTGATGTGTTATGTTCTGTGCTTCTAAAAAAAATTGCAAATCCTATCATGTGTGGTTATCATCCAATTTACAATCCTCACTTTTCTTTTTATTCCCCTTCAACCTTTATTGAAAGTGTAATAAGTGCTTGTTCAGTTACACAAAAGTAGAACCTCTTCTTTGAAAACCCTTTTTTACACAGTAAAGTCTAAAGTTAGGATGACTGAGATGCATGCGTCAAGTAATGTAGGTCTTTGTTTATTCTTTCAAGATGAGGAAGTCATCAATTTGTTAATTTATGCTCAAGTCATTTGTTGTTCCTGCTTCTAAATTTATTTGTAATTCAATTTGATGCACAGAATTATTGTTTTAGGACAGATCTTTGCTTAGCACACTTAGTAAAAATAATATTCAGTTCTGACACCCCTCCATATAAAGTCCTATTAGCTTAGTAATCAGCTAGCATGCATGACAAAGGTTGTTGGCCAATGTTTTTTCACAGCTTGTGCTCTTCACTGTATGCTATCTGAAAACATTTTCTACAGTTACTTGGTTGAGCTCTTCAGTATGTTCCTCTGTTATAAACCTATTAGTATTAGCAGTAACCCTTTCTCCAGTGTCCCAGCTTCAGGAAGCTCAATTAACTGTAAGTTTTAAAGAACCCAATTAAGAATATTTGGTCTGGCAATCAAGAAACGGTATTTATTCATTGTCCAATCCATTCATTTGTATGTAACTAAATTTTGTGTTAGTGTAATTGTTTTTGAAAAAAAAAAAAAGCCTGTTAACAAAAGTGAATATTCACTTTCTTTGCCAAGCAATGGCTGAACTTGATCATCCTGAATCAACTTCCACATTCCTTACTATTTGATTTCATCTGCTGTCTTGCATCATAATTCTTCCTCTCTTTCAGGGTTCCTTAGGAGTCGCAGGGACAAACGCAAAGAAAAAAAAGCAAAGAAGAAGAAGGATGGTAGCACAGACAATGCAAGTCAGAAGTCAGATGGGTGAGTGAAGATATTGAAATTTGCTACTTATCTATGAATCAATCTGCTTTCCAATTTTATACCGCCCTCTCCTTTGCTTTCTTGTCTTGGATTCAGTGAGGACAAATCTGGTACTCCCACTCCTGAAGTTGATGATGAAGGGTACAATGTACGACCGAAGAGTGATACATGGGAAAATGATAAGGGCTCATTTTACTCAAGTTCGGACTCAGATTCAGGTAATATTTTTCCGTCAGCATTGCTACTCAATTTTTCTCCTCCTCAGGAAACATCTCTTTTACCCTGTGAAACAATCTGATTTTATAATTATTTTTCAGAGGATGAACGGGAAAGGAAAATCCACGTTGAAATCAAACCATTAAGTAATGGTGCTGCTCCCATGAGTGCTAGTGTAGATGAACTTCGGGCCACTGTGGGCAACCTGTCAATATCTCCCATTGGGGCCACTATGGGAAGGAGAGGATCTACAGCCGAGACAGATTTGCACATGAAACGTTCTCAGTCTGTGTCTCAACAGTTAGGGTATGAACTGTTTAAGGTGGCAGTAGTAACTGTTGTCTTATCCCATTTCTTCATTGACGTTGTTTGGTTGATTTTGATTCCAGGAAGCCCAGCAGTGATTTATTGGGGCTGAACCTTTTCCAAAGTCCTACAACATCTGCAGCATCGACTCCCACTGGCAGTGGCAATCACCCCTATGCCCCTCTCACCAGCCCTCCGCCACCGGGTGGCTCACCAGCTACAGCGTCGCCTTCAGCAAAATATGCAGATCTGGGAGAATTGCTGGCCGAAGTTGAAACACAGCCAGCCCTTCCCCCAAAACAATCAAGGCAGGGTACTGCTGGTGGTTCTTCCATAGCCATACCAAGGCCGCCTTCAAGGCGTGGAGAGGCAAGTCCAGAAACCTGAGCCCTTCCATCATTTGCTATGTTTAGCTTGGGTAGTTATTTTCAATGTTCCTGTTTTGTAGGGGCCCGCACCGAGGGGCCGAGTGAGTCCAGGTCCAAATGCTCTCTCCATGTCCCGAGCAGACAGTGTTGCAAGTTTAGAGTTCAGAGCCGCCGGTGTAGCTGTGGGCTCGTCTCGAGGCCCATCTCCATTGACTATTGGAATGACAGATACTATACCTTTGGCAGTGGCTTTCCATGAAATCGTTCATTCATATTTCCGAGGCACGGACGAAACCAGGTATAGTGACTGACTCAGGGAAGAAGAGAAATCACAAATTGAAAGCTCAGGCTCCAAGGCCTAATCTTTTCTAATTTTTTCCTAGGTGTCAAGTGAAAATGTCAGGGGACATGATGCTTTCATTCCCAGCTGGAATAGTTGCTGTTCTTGCAAACAATCCAAGTCCTGCTCAACTAACTTTTCGAATAAAAAATACACAACGTATTGAGAATGTTCTCCCCAACAAACAGTTAGTTCATATGTAAGTTTCCCTGGTGAAGTTCCACCCTTTTTTGATCTGCTATGTTCATTCTTACTTATGAGTTTCTGCTTCCACATTTTACCTCAAATTAATTTTATTGCAGTGATACGGCCCAATCAAATACTGACAGCATGGTTTTTGAGTTTAATATGAGTTCTCTCACTGGTCTTCTTCGCCGACAAGCTGACCAAAACCCCACTGCGTCATATTTCAACGTGGATATTTTAAAATATCAAGTATGTTTGATAGAAAGTTAGGGTCTCTTCATCTCAACAGCTTGAAGTAAATGTTTCCTTATGTGTTTGTTTCTTTGCTAGGTTAAGCCAAAGAGCGGAGCAGGATCATGCCCATTCCACTTAGTTGCATACTGGAAGTGTGAGCCTACTCATACTGACCTAAAAGTGGACTACAAGTATAACAGCCATGCAATGGCTGCTCCGTCCCCTCTTCTAAACCTTACTGTAGCTGTGCCTGTGGATGGTGGAGTCACAAGTCTACAGTCAAAACCATCTGCGCAATGGTTTGTTCCTAAATTATTTTCTTTAATATGCACTTTCTGTATGTGTTACCTAATTGGTTTAAAATAATTTATAGGTTAGCTGAAAGTCACAGAGTTATATGGAAGTTTACTGAGTTGTCCCAACATAGTGAAAATCATGGAGTTGGTTCATTGAGGGCTCGCCTAGAAGTGACAAATGGACCAAGTCAACAAGGCACAATTGCTACTCAATTTAATTGTGAAGGGACCACACTTTCTGGCCTAGAATTAGAGCTTGTTGGCTCTGGCTATCGATTGTCTCTGGTGAAAAGAAGATTTGTATCAGGTAGGTGGCAGAGTTCTTTATTTAACTTTTTTACTATGTTTAGTAGCAATGGTTCTTTATCCTGAAACCTTTTCACTTTGATGAATATGCCATTCCTACTTGCAGGGAAATACATATGTGATGGTGATCCTGACAACAGATCAAGGTATGCTGCTCCGCCTGGCAGTTAATATAGGCTTATGGCATATATTCTCCCTCCCGTTAACCTCATGGACTGAGCTGCTGGTGTTAGAGCCTAATTAAACTTTGTATTCCTCACAAAATTTGTGATAATCTTCGAAATAGAAATGCTCACTGTGTTACATTTTTGATGATATTTTCTTGTAAGAAAGTGAATATTTGGTGATGGAGAATGAAATGAAATTTAGTGGGCAGAGTGCTTGTTTAGTATCAGGATATGCTTTTTTAAATCTGATATGAAATTTTAACACGGTCTTGTGAGCTGTGAATATTATTCTCAAATGTTAATCATACATTTTTAGTTATTGCAATATATTTAATGTTTGTTAAAATTATTTTGAAGAGATCATCTTCAGCAAATTTGTTCACCAAACATTTTTGTAGTATCACAGCCATTGCAATATTTTGTGTAAAACTGAAAATTAAGGTGACTTTTCTAGCAGGTACATTTTTATGCCATTTATAGCAATGTTTAAGCTTGGATGATGAAGATTGAGCAGTACTGGTACAGAACGTGACTTGTTCATTTCCCTTTATCATATTATGAAACAATTTAAAACATATTTGCTAGGTAAGTGCGGTATTTGCTCATAGGCATTCACATTTCGAGTTACCATTGAGTCTGATTCTTTCTAAAATTATGGCCATGATCGAAGAAATCATTTACTTTGTATTTGATTTGTTACGGCCAAACCTTGTTTGGCTACACTTTACAACCGAAGCTAATGTTAATTTTAGTAATAACTTTACCTACCACAGAATCATTTTGTTGAAAGTTGGGAGCTCAGTTGACTTGGTTTTACACATGAAGTGTTCAAAGAACTGTTGACAATATTGTGAAATCGAACTCTTTGTTGTTTCTTGTTCAAAGATAAAAATTGCACCATGTTGTTTGGGGCATTGTTTCTGTCCACGCTGTTATAATGAATAATTCTTTAATATGTTGATAGATTTATTGTAAATCATACTATGAAGATAAAAAATATGTAAGTGTAAATATATAAATATATATATCTGTAGAAGTATTAAAATGTAAGTATGTTATATCTGTTTTTTAATAAGTAAGAAGGTGTATTTTTTTGTCAGTACATTGGTGTTAGGACTGAACGTCACGGAAGAGTTTCTTGGGATGTTCAACGCACAGCTCGCAACATGTGCATTAACACGTTCCAGGTCACTTTTAACAGTTCTTCGTAACAAAGATCCAATCCATTATGCCCTCAACCATTTCAGGTACTTTATTTTTATGTTGTACCTAACAGTCACTTAGTTAGAGGGTTAGTTCTTCATGTGCAACTTTAAAGCATCATTTTTGTTTTTATTTGATGTGTTTGTCCCTGTAAGTTATGATTTTATCCCATGTTTCCTAACAAACAAGCATGCAATGGACCTCAAAAACATTGTTTTGCCTTCTGCCTGCTGTGGCAGCTTGTCCGCCTATTATTTCAAGCAGCATTCAGCTCTACTTACATGAGTACTGTACATACTGTGTACTCTTGTGTGGTATATCTCAGAGACTCAGTCACTTTGTATTCATATCTCCTCTATCAGGTTATGATTCTTCAACTGACTGAACTGCCGTTACCAAATGTGCACATGAAGAGCCCATTCCTCAGTATTCTCTACATTGTTAGTCTAAGTTAATCTTATGTTCAGTTACATGTTAAAAATGAGAAGTGCCAATTTGCTTTTTTACAGACGTTTTGTTCTTTTCTACATATGGGCTTATTTTTTTATAATTACCATACCAGTCATCTTGTGATGCATGCACACTTTTATGATTATTGTCTTGTTTTGTATAGCAGCCTATGTGGAAAGGTCTTCAAAGCATTGTGGCATTCTATATTTTGTAGTTTAGTCACCAAAGATAAATTGTTTTAAATAGAACATTTCACCTTTTATACAGGTTATGTTGAACTTGTTTCCTGAAAAACAGAACATGTCTTACACACACCATTCCTTGATTATTGTGGTTTTAGACTGATTTAGGCCTGTCAATTTTAGACTTTTTCTCTTTGTTCAATGGTGTTGTGTAATCAGTGAGTCATTGTGTTCATAGATCATTGTTGCAATGTATTTTCATATTATCGATTGTCTTAGATAGTCAAACCATTATGCCGCTACTTTTGGAAGCAATATTAGTGAGAAATTACGTATCAACTTTTGTAGAGCCCATTACTGCCTAAAGTAGGTGCACTACGTTAACTGTAACCTGCTGAGCATGAAAGAGGACATTAAATTTCTGCATTTTGTTTGTCAGTTTAATTTCTGGTCTAATGTGGTATGTGGAGATTATTTAAGGTGCCGCCAAAATGTCAATCATCCCCCAGTAACTCGTGGTGACGGGTCTGATGCACGATAGTGATCATCATGTGGTCGCCACCAAATCATTGATTTATTTGGCATTGGACACATCAGCAGAAATGCATCTATATTAGTTAAATAAAAAATATAAATATTTTTATATAAGCAGAATTTGGTTATATGCCACCATCTTGGCCTCATTTGAAGTAAGGTCCAAGTGCAATGAAGTATTATGATTATCTTTTATCCTCAATGTATCATGTTCTAAATCTCTTTCAATGAAATGGTTGAGTTTGAAGTTGAGTTTTGGATCTCACTTTGATCTACTTGGCCTGCTGTAAGTTATGTTTGCAGTCCTTGCTACTTCCAAATACTGCAGCTGGTCTAATACGAATTGCCCAGGGTGTTTTTCACTAGCTTCTACAGGGCTTCTCTGCTTATTTTGTGGGAGTTTGGGAAAATGCTTCTACCTATCTCTGTGTTAAATTATTGTTTATGCCTAATGTCTTTCTGCTACCTCATACTTTAAGCAAAGTTGATTTTGTAAGGTTTTTACACTACCACTGATACTATTTGCTGTTTTAAAATTGTAGAATTGTTTTACTCTTACCTCTTCTGCCTTTTGACTTAGATATGTATTTTAAAATATTTTGCTGTGGAAGGAAGGAGGAGGAAAGACAGAATTTTTAAACTAGAACATTTACAGTGCACTTTTCACTTTTCATCAATTTCTCATTTAGCATCAGTGATAGGTGATAAGGGATCAATAATGGCTAGGGACAACTTTTCTTTCTTTTAAAGACCGATCTCGTTCAGAGATCATGAAATGAATCTCAACAAACACACATCTTTCAGGAACCTCAAAGCCTTTATTACTGTAATTTTTCCTCTTTATAGTATTTTTTTTTTCACGTACTTTTAGTAATGAGAAGTAGTCATGAAAAACAACTTATGGAAATGAAACTCAGGAGCAAAGATTGAAGAAGAGTGGAAGCTTGAAACCGCTAATCTAATTACTGTATAAGATGTGCAAAGATCAGTGCAAAAATCATAATTCCTAGTTGTGATTTCTATTAAGAAGAAACTAGGGAACTGAATGTGATTTTTTTAGTCCAAGCTCACTGCCAGTTCATTTTTGACTGGGGTGCCAACGATTGGGCTTCCACTCTGCCTTGGGCAAAGACCTTTGTTTGTTTGAAGCATGTATTTTCTTTGAATATGTATGGAAACAAATATTGTTTTAATAAACATGGTTATAATAACATTTATTGCTCTTACTGCACAAACATTTTCCTTTGGTTCAAACCTCGAAGTTACAAAGTGAAAATGATCCCACGCAAGGGAACTCCTTCCCTCTCCATTACCGGAAGTGCCGGGCCGGGGGGAGGGGAAGGGGGTAGGACCGAAAGGGATAAGGTTGACGTTGCGTGTTGAGGTTAGGGGGCGTTTCCAGGATTTAGATAACAGCTGTTGGGTCTTAAAGAAAAATATTTAGGCCTCAAATGCCTATTCAATTTATCATGCTTACTTTATTTCATAATAGGTGAGAATTGGTTCTAATTAATTTACAATCTGCACTTATTTCTGTCTGGTCTGTTGGCCCAGTTCTTTTATTTCATTGTTTCTTTATTTTGTCAAAATTATAAATTACAGGCTTTGAAACGTGCAGTCGTTCGGAGGAGAAGGCCGAAAATATTTTCGTCATCAGTCAAAGTATCTGAAAACTTGATCTCAACTCTTAATAGTCTTAAAAGGTTACGCTACCCTTTAAAATCATGGCTCGAAGGTATCAAGAATTATTTTTAAGGTGAGTAGCTTCTTTCAGTCAATATTTTCTACCATGGCATGATGCCACCCATACCCTTATAGACGCAGTCATCACTATTGGGGCGATTTGCACTGTGATCATGTGAAAGTGCTGTCTTCAGCAACATTTTCCCCATTCATCAGATAAGCTTGTCAGTTTCTGTGCCAGTGTAACCCCGTACATTCATCAGCATTTACTATAGCTGCAAACAACTCCTAGCTTGTGAACTGTTTGATACGTTTAAAATGAGTCGGACTGATTTTTCTATGAAGCTCTGTAGAAAAAACAATAGTTTGAATTTAAGGCAGTGCAGGAATCGCTATTCAATATTTTGGGAAGTCCCACTTAGGTGACTGGATTTGTTTCATAAGTTACTGTGTTGCTTTTTAAAACATATAGTTTTTGTTCTGAATTCATTCTTATTTGTGGTTTCTTTGGATTGCTTTTACAGCCTGCTGATCGTAACACTTTTCTTCCTGTGGTACCTCATCTCCCGCTTCGTAGAAAAAGCTTTCCCTGAAGCAGTCATACAAGATTATTGGTTGTTGCGACTTTGTGTCAGTTCCATTGGATATGGTTGCATTCTCATACCAGGCTTTGTTGCTTATAAATATGTGAATGCAACGGGCTATTTAGACAGAACAGGTCAGAAAACTTCTCACTTAACCCATTTCTGTACACGGCTATGCAATTATTATTATTAGTAATGAGATACTTTTGTTATTCCACGTTACAGATCTTGGATGTTTTGGAAGGATTGTGAAGCTGTGCCTTGGAGAACCAGATCCTGATTTAATGAAAACTGCTGAGTCTTCAACTTCATCTCTGGTTCAAACTCGATCTTCCAGTAAGAAAGCTTTCCAGCTTTTATACTGTTTTGTTGGGTTGCAAGTATCATATTTGGTGTGGGGTGTACTCCAGGAAAAAATAATGACTCAGGTATGTTACAAATAAAGTCAGTGTCATTTGTATTTTAGAAGAATTGTTGTTTTCTGACACAGTGCCCTGTTTTCTTTTGGTTTTAGGAATACCGCAATTCAAGTGACGAAACTGCAAACTTCCGTGATTCTGAGTTTCTGGTGTTTGTGAATCGTGTGTTAGCATTTGCATTCTCCGGCATACATCTCATCTTCACAAGGCATCCTCGTCATAATTGTCCATTATATAAATATATCTATTGTTCTTTGACAAACATTCTGAGCTCTTGGTGTCAGTATGAGGCCCTGAAATTTGTAACTTTTCCTACTCAGGTAAGGACATCTATTGTCCAGTTATTTTGGTAGATTAACTTAAATGAAAATGACATGTATTATATCTGTCTTGTGCTTGCAGGTACTTGTCAAAGCGTCAAAAATAATTCCTGTAATGATCATGGGGAAAGTTGTTTCAAAGAAAAAGTTCGAGTATTATGAATATGTGACTGCAGTAATGATGTCTATCGGAATGGTTATGTTTCTGTTAAACAACAATGGAAGTGACAAGGGTAAATTATGGTGAAATTTCAAGCTTGAATCTTCTTTACAATAGGACTGGAATTCTCTAAAGTTTCAATCTGTTTTTCAGGTGTGAAAGAGACAACAATCTCTGGGGTTGTTCTACTGGCAATGTACATGTCAATGGATAGTTTCACATCCAACTGGCAAAGCGAACTCTTCTCAGCATACAGCATGAGTTCCGTACAGATGATGTGTGGAGTCAATCTGTTTTCTTGTCTTCTTACAGGTGTTTCCCTTTTCTCACAAGGAATTCTGTTCAGATCCTTTGAGTTCATGACAAAAGTGAGTACATCAATTTTGATTAAAATGAAAAATCATGTTCTTTTTCTTCCCTTTTATCACATATTGATTTTTTACCCCACAGTTTCCATCATTTGGAATGGATTGCTTTCTGCTATCCTTGTGCTCCGCCACTGGTCAACTTTTTATTTTCCATACTATATCTACATTTGGACCAGTTGTATTTGTTATTATAACTACTCTAAGACAGGTAAAGTAGGCAAAAATGAAGTTCCTCTGGGTTACCACTTAAATGTTCCTTTCTTCATTTCTTTTCTGTCTGCTTTCAACAGGTCCTAGCTATTTTGCTTTCTTGCTTTATCTACCAACACCACCTCTCAACTTTTGCTGTGTTTGGAGTTGCTGTTGTTTTCATTGCTATATTTTTAAGAATTTACTGCAACCAAAGACTCCGCAATATAAGGAAACAACAGCTGAGAAGCACTCAAGGATAATATTCCTATTGACAAAATATGTATCCAAAGACTTGATGTTCCTCTATTTGGAGACCTGTCTTGTTATTTAATTGTATTGTTCAGTCTTACTAGTGTTGTATATTTTCAGTCCTTTTTGGGAATGTTTAGATATTTTTCTAAGTCTGTGATACTTAAACCTAGTTTAAAAAAAATGTTTTAAAAATATTACACGGAATGTGCCTTTTATTCCTTTTAAATATTGACGATCGTTTGTCCAGTGATGTCTTAGTATGACAAAATTCAAATGTACTTAACTTATCCAGAGGCTGCTTTGTAAGGCTCAAAAAGTATTTACGTTTTTTTTTTTTTTTTACTTCTCCTAAGCCTTTCTGGTTCTATTTTAGGGGTAATGTGACATTTTAGCTTCATGAATTGAATGTGTCCTCTACATAGGTGTCTTGTGGACAAAATGGTTCAATTCTTAGTGTGTGAGATACTGCAATGAATCCAGATGCTAATTACAATTCTGTGATTGTTTTTCTCTTAGGAACTTATCTCTTAAACAATTATTTATTGTGGGAATGTTAGATTAAACATGACAATTTTTAAAGTGTGCTCTTGTCTGTTTTTTTTTTGTGTGGTTGTTTTTGTGGGGGAGAAATAAATTTTGAAAATATTTTTTATGACGCTTATTTCTCCACTTAGAGTGAATATATCCCGTTGAATCCCTCATACACCATGCACCCACCGAGAAAAATGGGCGACATGCCTAGCAGCTGGGGAAGACCAACCGTATGTTCAGGTGTAGTGCAGTGCACCAGCTGTGGTTCGCCCTGCGCCGTGCGGCACGGCGGGCGGGCTAGAGGCTGGGCCTGACGCATTTCGGACGCGGCCGCGTTTACCAGCAAAAGCCGACGTCATCGTCCCGTCCGGCGCGATGACGAACGCCACCTCCCCGCCGCCACGCTCGGCTGGCTGGTGGCGTAGCTGGCGGTGGCTAGCGGCAGGTCTTGTCTCTTTCCCTCTGACTAGCACAGGGCAACAGGGCTACGGGAGTGATAAAGACAACTTTCCGATGAGTTCGGTGGCGGCAACGCGGTGTACGCGAAGCTCTGCGAAGTCGTCCCCCCACCCTTCCTCTTCTCGCTTCTCACAGCTGTTGGTGGAGGTGCGGGGCGGGGCGGGGCCGGACACACCAGCAGAGCAGCAGGGCCGAGCAGAACAGAGAAGACAGTTGCCGAAGAGACTTCGACGCGTTTGGACTGAAGAGCATCGACACTAGGTTCAGGTAGGTGTCCATCCGCACAAACCAGTGGTGGCTAGGGCTAGAGGGGCTATAGCGCCTCGAAAGCAGCTCAGCCTGCGGATTTTCGCAGGCCGACCCGCCGACCGGTTTTGGCAGGGGACAGCAGCAGTCTTTCATAAGTCCCCAGGACAACAACAACAAAAATCAGCATAGCCCAACCGACGCAAACCGTGTCACGAGATCGAAAGTCAGTTTGCTCTGACGTTGCTTGCCGTCGTTATGTTTAGTTGAACTGCCTCCAGTGTGGTCGCCCGTGCGTTGCCGTCAACCCAAAACAACGGGAACGACTGACGGTCTCTGTCTCTCTCTTTCCATCCAGGATGGTGCGCGCCGTGCACATGCTGGCGCTGGCCCTGGCGGTGCTGGTCGCCCAGGCCGCGGCGGTCCCCGCCAAAAGCCAGAGCCAAAGCCGCAATCCCTCGCCGTCGCGGTCCCCGTCCCCCGCCAGGCCCGGCTCCCCGTCGGCTGCTTTCGGCGACGCCGGCAAGAAGGCCGGCCTGGAGATCTGGAGAGTCGAGGTGAGCTGATAAAGCAGGGTGGCGAAACCACTGACGCTACGGGCCCGGTGGCAATATCTGAACTTGAACGGCGTCATATTGTCGGCAGAATTTCGCGCCAGTTCCGTACCCCAAGAACGACTACGGCAAGTTCTACTCCGGCGACTCGTACATCGTCCTGCAGACGCGTGAGAACCGCGGCACCTTCAGCTGGGACATCTTCTTCTGGCTGGGCAAGGACACCTCCCAGGTGAGCGCCCGGAAGCAGCGCGGAGTCGTTGTTGTTGTTGTTTTTGTTGTTGCTTGAGGAATGGGTATTCCCTTCCAGGACGAGTCCGGGGCTGCCGCCATCCTGTCCGTGGAGCTGGACGACTCGCTGGGCGGCTCCCCGGTGCAGCACCGCGAGATCCAGGACCACGAGAGCAAGCAGTTCCTGGACAACTTCCCGAGCGGTGAGCGTTCAAGGAAAGCTGGAGAGGCGCCTGCGAAGTCGCGGGTAGGCAACACTGCGTGGCGGCGGGTCCAGCGGGTTTGCCTACCCGCTCTCGGTCAGGCGGCTTGAGGTCAGGCGGGTATCGCGTCGGCCAACCGGCAAAGCCAACCGGGGCATCTGAACCGTGACTCTTGATTGCAGGTGTGCGCTACCTCCCCGGCGGCGTTAACAGCGGCTTTCACCACGTGACCATCAACGCGGGCTCCGACAAGAAGCTGTACCAAGTCAAGGGCAAGAGGAACGTGCGCGTGCGCCAGGTTGGTTGAGTCTCGAGGCGACACCAGCTTCGCCGCGCTGCGAGTGTCGCGTTTTTGGTGCGGGAAAATTCGTGAAACGCGGTCAAAACATTTACCGCGTAGCGCGCGTCACTGCCGTCTCTGCTGACTGCGATTTTCACGGCCGGTCATACCAACAACACGACCCGGTATCTTCGGTTCGTATCTCCCGCCAAGGCGCGATCAGTTGTCAACACGGAGACGCTGTCCGCGCCGCGCCGTCCGCGCCATCCCCAGTGGGGCCGTGCAGAGGCTTACTCATCCTGGCCGGACAGATTAAGCGACACTGTTTGTGGCGTGCCCATTGACGGGCTCGCCTTCACGGCGTTCTCGGACCGAGTCTCGGACCGCTCTTGTCATCACGGCCGTTTAGGGACGCGGCCGGCGGACTGTCCAGACTGCCAGCAGAATGGTCCGCCGCCCACGAAAATGGCGGGGAGACAGTCAACAAGCGCCAGATGGAAATGACTCGGTCGGTCCAACTCATGCCCTTGCATTTGCCCTGCCCGGCCCGGGCCGCAGGTGTACGCCGACGTGTCGTCCATGAACAGGGGCGACTGCTTCATCCTGGACACCGGCAAGGGCGACATCTTGGTGTACGTCGGCGGCAGCGCCAAGCGCGTGGAGAAGATCAAGGCGACCCAGGCCGCCAACATGATCCGCGACCAGGATCACCACGGCCGCGCCAAGGTGTCCATCATCGGTGAGTCCCGGGTTCGACTCCGCCTCGGATCCGCCTTTGTTTCCCAGGCGCTTGCGTACATTACTCGCTCTGTTGCAGACGAGTTCAGCCCCGTCATCGACGTGGAGAACTTCTTCAAGGTCCTCGGTAGCGGCGCGCCGGGCAAGGTGCCTGAGGAGGCTGCCGGCGGCGACGACGCCGACTTCGAGAAGCAGACCGACGTGAGTTGGATGCGAGTGCGGCGAGTACCGAAGCCCGGAACCGAGCGCGCGCACCGCCACCGTGCGAGGGTTTTGCAAACGACTTGACGGCTCTTTGTTTGCAGTCCACCGTCGTCCTGTACAAAGTGAGCGACGCGACGGGCAGCCTCAAGGTGGACAAGCTGGCCCAGAAGCCCCTGAGCCAGAGCGAGCTCAGCACCAACGTGAGTGCGACCGCCTGCGACAAGCCGCCGACGCGAATGTGCATGGCCAATATTGATTCTTGTTTACATTCCGTGTTTGTAGGACGCGTTCGTTCTGGATGCGGGGGCCTCTGGCATCTACGTGTGGGTGGGACGCAAGTCCACCAAGGAGGAGAAGGCCGAGTCGATGAAGAAGGGCGAGAAGTACCTGGCCGACAACAAGTACCCCAGCTGGACCAAGGTCAGATAAATTTCTAAGACATTGATCCGAGACTCGGACGCCGTAAACAAAAGTATTTGAAAGTATTTGCGTCTTCGTTTAACAGATTCAGCGTGTGGTGGAGGGAGCAGAGCCGGCTGGATTCAAGCAGTACTTCGGTGACTGGAGGGGATGAGCTACAGCCAAAGAGCAACTGAAAGCAGTCTTTTAAAAATATTTATTCGATCGTAAAAAAGCGACAAATGTGAATCTCTAAAACCAATTAGAAATAAAATCTTTTTTTAAATAAAAATAATCAAAACAGCCTACTTTATCACCCTTTCCGAGACGACAAAGACTTGGGCCTTCCCCATCGCTTTGCGCGACAAATCCCTAGAATTTAGATAGTCCCGCAAGTGACGCAACCAGCCTCACTGCGCCTCGCCTGTCTCTGTCTATCCCGAATCACAGTCTAGCACAATCTGCTCCACATGAATCGGATTCTCGGTTTTGCCTCGGCGGCGCCGATAACGCGGTGACCTCTGCGGCCGCCACTTGGGGGTCGCCGACGATGTTGTGCGCGCCGACGTGGGCCGCTGCGGGCACCGCGGGCCGGTCGCTGCAGGGGCAGAGGACAAAACGGAGGTTTAAATGGGATAAAACAGACCGGGGGGGGGGGGGGGCATTGCATACTCGGACCACCAGACAACACTCCGGTACTCACTTTGGAGAATCCTGCGTCGTGCTGTCCGGGACCGCGTCGTCCGAGCTGCGGTCCAGCCGTCCGTCGCCCGGCTCGCCCGGCTCGTCCAGCAGGCCGAGTTCCTGAGCGAGCTGCCTGTTGCTCGCCACGCGCGCCCCCAGCGACGCCGCCAGCCTGCCGGCCTGCGAGTCGTACTCGTCGCGGAGCAGGGCGAGGCGGTGGAGCGCGGCCTGCGTCGTGGTGGCCCCCGCGGCCTCCGCCAGCACCTGCCCGTCGTCGTCCTGCCCTTGGTCCTGCCGGCCGGCACCGTCCAGCTCCACCTCGACCTGCAGCAGCGTCATGTCCTCGATGGCCTCTGCAACAACGAGTGCCCGATAAGCTACGAGCGGGCAGGTCGGCACCCGCATCTCCTACGAGGAGAACAGTGTACCTTCCAGCATGCGGCAGTACGCCGCCTCCGCCTCCGCCGCGTGCCCGGGGGCCGGGGCCGCGCCGGCCGCGGCCATGGCGCTGCGGACCGCCCCGCACACCTGCTGGTGCTCGGCGGCCAGCTCCTGGAACGTCTGCTTGAGCGCCCGCGACTTGGCGAGCAGCGAGGGCACGGCGGCCGGGTCCCAGGCCGGGAAAGGGCCCGTCTCCTGGGACAGGCGGGTCTCCTCGGCCTGCAGCTCGCCGATCAAGGCGCGCAGCTGCGCCGTCTCCAGTTGCAGCGCCCTCTCGGACAGAAGTTCAGAGGCTTGGCTCGTCAGCTCCTGCAAGGATAAGCAGGCGTGGAGGGTCTGTCGAAATGGTTGCCTACGCCACGGGCGTCAGCCGAGCAGGCCCGACCAGGCGTCATGGAGAACACCAGATTCCCCATGGTGGAACGAACCTGAAACTGAACACCTTTCTGAACCAACTTCTTATGAGCATCTTCCGACTCGCGGTTGTAAACGAGTTCCAAGTCTTTCAGCTCCTTGATGCATTGCAACAATTCCCTTTCTTCTTTCTCCGCCAGGGCCTCTTGCTTTTGGAAAATATCAAACTTGGACTGCAAACAACAATTTCGGCATTGAGAAATAACCTGGTCAGAACTAGTGCGCCGTGCTGCGAGCGGATCCACCAACAACGGACCTGATACAACTGCATTTTCCGAGCCAATGAAGCCAGACACTGCTCTGCCTCCTTTGCGAGCTGTTCGGCCACCTGAATATCGCCGTCCATCGTCGGCACTATCACTTACAGAAGCAACTAAACTGTAACTACAAGTTTCTAATTTATATAGCGTTTGCTCAGCTCCCGCCACTTCCAGTTTTAGAAAACTACGGTGTTTCGGTGGTGTGCGTTCAGGTACGCCCTTGTGTTCAGGCCCTTTAACCGACCACCGGTCTTGAAATATGACAGGTATTAATAGGTCGGCGGGTGATGATCCATTTGAAAAATGTCAGAGACGATTCGATAAATTTGTCTTCATGGCTCAATAACTTGAACAAAGTTTTACGCACATCCTTTATTTTCAGACATGTTTGATGGCACTCGCGCGGGACAAGTTGAAAATAGGGTGAGGGCACCGCCCTCTGTCGACAGATGCCTGTCGCTGGCTACGCGCTTTACAGCGTGGCGGCGTCCATTCGAATAGCTTCTGCTAGCCAGTGCTGGAGAGCTTCGAACCAACGGTGACTAGCTGATCGGCTTGACAGTAGTTCATGGCGTGAGAGAAGTCAATTTTGTGACCAAGAAAGGCTTTGAACTCGAAACGATGCAGGACGCAGACAGGCAGCTCAAAGATGCGGCGGAGGGCATGGTAATAGATACTGGCGCGACTGGCTCCTGAACGCGTCCACCGCTTCCAGCCCCCATGGCTAACAATGAATGCTTTCCGCGGGTTTCTATGGCATTGTCAATCACCCCGAAAGCCTAAAATCGCGCCACTTTTATTTCTGCACCACTTGAACCTTCATTTCGGCCCGCAAACAGTTTCCCAGAGATTTGTAAGAATGCATCTTTTGGCCTCCAGGACGAGGCATGTCGCTGTCTGACGCTGGTCGGTGGGAACCTCGCAGGTTTACTCCAGGATCTGAATGGTGCTCCAGAGTGCCTGGCGCTGTTCCAGCCTGACATTGCAAGGCTCGAAACTGAGGCCAAAACCCTCACCCGGAATTTGGAAGACCTACTCACTGCTCGTGCATCGCAACTCAAAACAATAGCAGGTATTTTCATTTAAAACACTCTCGATAGCCACAGAAAAGCAAACATGATTAATTAAACTGCATTCTGCCTTTACAGATATGGCGGACAGATGCAATGAGCTGGAAGAGCTTAGGAGCAAGGTTCTGGCCCTACAACACGAGAAAGAGAAAGCCTGTGCCCAGTTGGATATCATTCAAGGCGACAATGTAAGGCTAAGATCCCAGTTAACACACCAAAGTACCTTCTGTGCTTCACTTGGATCTGTACTGGGCACCCTTGTATGGAAGGCATCGAGGGTTCCCCCAGTTGTGGACCTTCTTCTGTCTGGTGTAAGTTGGAACGAGTCTAATCAGAGCAAAAAACATTTAGCTGGAATGAGGCACAGCACTGTTTATTCTTAAAGCCACAGTTAAGAACAAATAATTTACTTAAAAAAAAAGATATCAATAAAGTGGATAAAAAAGAACTAACACACTCAAAAACAAAGGTACAATCAAAAACTTTCTTTGTTTGCTCAAAACAGAACAAGGCTGCAGATTTTTTATGCATTGTGAGTGGGACTCTGGAATCATTTCTTGAGACTTTCAACACTGAGATGCCAGGACCATCAGCTGATGAAAGCCAATTCATCATGGCCATGGGGGGCATTGTCACCAACATGGCTGCAGCCCCAGCAGGGAGACAGTTTCTTGTTAGCGACCCAAATGGACGAGAATTAATTTTACAAATTATCAGAATCTTGCCTGTGATTCCAACTCCCTCTGGAAACTGCCTGAAGAGGTTTGGATTTGGTCTGGAATAGAAGCAACAAGATCAGGAAGGCAATCTTAATTGTATTTTGTTTCATCCTTACAGGTTGCTACTGATGGCACTCTACAATGTAAGCATAAACCAAGCAGGGCTCAGTTTACTTCATGAAGATGGTGAAGGAGCAATTTTCTCAGTTGCTTCAAATTGTTTAAAGCCAGAGTCCACAAGCGAACTTCGAATAATGGCACTGAGGCTACTACAGTCTTTGACTTGTGATATATCAAACCCATCACTTCTGTCCCAGGTTCAGTAAATCTAGATTAGTTGGCTAAGATAAGATATGTTAGCTGAGATAATTCTATAAGATCCATTTATTTGCAGGTGCCAAAACAATTAATTATGGAAATGGCCAATTCTGAAGACCAAGAACTTAAATCTCTGGCCATTGCAGTGAGTGAGAACATGCAGAAGGCACAAGAAAGAGTAAAGCAAGCAGCTGTCAGAAATGGACATTTACCAGGGTTTTCAGGCAAGACACAGCATGTGGAGGATCTTGCAAAGGAGAACATACCAACAATGGCATCTCCACAAACCACAGCTTGGCGACTGCCAACACACCCCTGATCTTACAGTACAACTTTGAATTGAGCCTAACTATGTTGCAGTTTGCTAGGAACAGCAGATTTGACTTACCTTAAAAAATTTAAACACTTCCTGGAGGAATTACATCATACTTGTCTGTGCTTCCGCCAGCCTCCAAAATTTGTGAAAGCAATCGAGCAGGGGAATTTTTTTTGCTAACTACAAGCTGACGATTTTGATCCTTGCCATAGCTGAGACTTCTTAAATTAAACCTCCTAGCAATACTGCAATGAAAATGAAATTCCATATATAAATAAAATTATAGAAATGTTTTAGTATAAAAATAATAATAAAAATTTGTACATTGCACTCACAGATGAATTTGAGCCCGTTCTTCCTTAGAATAATCAGAGGCAAATACAAGGTCATGACATGCACTACTTTGCTGATACGTCTTCAACATTTGATTAATGGAATTTTTGAATGCAGGACCTATGCCACCTTTTGCGTCCAACCCCAACCCAGTTCGCCTTACTCTTTGTTCCACCCTGAAAGTATCGAATAATTAAATTGTAATATACAAAGGCAAAGTTGTTGTGCAAGGAGAGGCATTTTTTTTCATACTTACTCAACTGGTTTTTCTCGCCCCTGCTGGTCTTTTCCCAGACCCCCACCACCCCATCCCATTAATTTCATCATTCGACTGACTTTGCTATCTTCTGCCAAATGAGCTGGGGTCTCTTGAGGCGCTGTTTGGGCTCCAGTTAAATCTGCGCCTTTTTCAACTACAGAACCTGCAAATCTATCTTTAATCTAAATTAAAAGAGTTGAAAAGAAAAGAAACCCCTTAAACATTAGTATTTTGTTAAATGCCTCTCATATGTAAAGAAACTGAAGATGCAATGCTTACTTTAATGGTATAGCAAGATTCCTTGAGCGTTTCCAAGGCTTTCAGGGCACAATTTTTTCTGGCGTCTGCCTCACTAATGCCTGTGGCTCTTGCCATAAAATGACCATTCAGAGACAACGTCATCTCCCTAAAAAGAGAAACAACAATTAACAAAGACTAAAGCTCTTTGCAACATAAAACACACACATAAAAAAAGAAAAAAAATTCAGGAATTACGGGCCAGCAGATGTTTGAACAACATGTTGCGACAGATTACTATGGTTTTGTCCGGCTGATCTTGACAATATATTATATGGGGTCTCATTAGAGGTCGCACTCTCTATCAAAACAAAATCAGAAAAAGTATTGTTTGTCTTCATTCTCTTTGGCTGCTGAGGAACATGGTCACCAGTAGTCTCCTTCCTCTTCTGAGATTTTGAATTGTTAGAGCAGCTCTGGTTAGGAGCGCTGTTAGGTGAGCTGGAAGAGAAAATACAAGAGATAATAAAAGCATGTTGAAGTTCAAATGCCATAATTTATTACTATAGGGATATTACATGTCAGCAGTAGTAGCACCTGGGGCCACTTTTGGCTTCTTTTTGCCCCTCCGTGTCTTTGCTTTGGGACGCTGTACGGTTTTGGCATCCTGAGGATTTTCTTCTGATAGAATATCACTATCCTGGGGTATCTCTTCTAGCTCAATATTACCATCCTGGGGAGCTTCTATAGTTGAATTATTTACCATTGTCTCAACACCTTTTTTAATCACCTTCTTCTTTCTCTTTTTGTTTTTCTTAGCTGTAGTACCTTCATTCATCTCTTTCTCTAAACTTTGTACGGATTTTGTATCTTTCTTTTTTTTATTTTTTGTCTTTTTCTTAGTCTTCTTTGCTTTGGGCAGTTGCTCGGAGTTGGAAGCTTGGGATTCTTCTTCACGTGGATTTGGTAAGGTATTCTGATTAATGCTGTTTGGTGAATTGTTGTCTATTGTATTGCTGTTGTCATTTTCTTCAGTTGACTTACAAAAATTGATGAACCCTTTCCTTGTGTGTGCTGTGCCAAAATTATTGCGTCCTGCATCCCAAGATAAGAGAGAAAAAAGAAAAATGTTTTAATGTCTCAATAACAGCATTACTATGTACAGAATTGCAAGGTGAGAGCTGAGTAAAAGGAAGAAGAGAGGCAGTGTTCTACATTTGTTTGCTTGTGCAAATAATAAAAACTCACAATTAGATCTACCTTTGGCCTTTGTACTTGCGGCATCTGACGCTTGCACAAAGGTGCGCTGCAGCTTGGTCTTCGTTTTTTCCCGGTGCTCATCAGCAATGCCCTGGGAAAGTTGGGCAACAAGACGCATAGTTTTTTCTGGGTATCTATACAAGAGAAGCAAAATGTATGTACAAAATAAAGGACAGGACACAATAGATCAATAACAGATGATCAAGGGATTTATGATAAGTTACCTGCACCCCATAAACTCAACATTGTAGAAAACTTGTGCAAGGCAAACTAGCCTGTCTTCAGGAAACTTATCCTTGTGTGCTTCAAGAAAACTACGTCGCAACTCCCAGTGGTCATCACATTCATGTTCAACACGATACTGTTCAATATCCCAGTCCGTTGGAAACGTCATTGTAAAGCACTGAAACCAAACATCCCCAATGAATGAAAATTAGTTTGCTTGGAACATGACTTCAAAAAAATAAATCAATATAAGTTAGAAGCGGTTGCTCTCAAGAAAAGAAACAGTTCAGAAAACGAACATGACATGGGTTCTAGCAAGCAAACTGGTGCTTGACGGTACTTTCAATCATCAAACATTGTCATTGAGACATAAATGAAATAAAGTAACGACAATGAAATCGAGAAGCAACAGCTGACAATTTAATCATGTGGCTGGTTCAATACTACCGTTCGCCAAACAGTAAATAAACAATAATCAGGTGATTTAACCTTACCTGGCTGCACAGTGCGTGATGTTGATGTTGCAGTGCAGTGTTGCCGGACTGCAATGAGTTCTCGCATCGACCGCTAGGTGGAGACACAGCCCACTCGCCATTTCCGGCGCAAGGCGCGCGATTTAAAGATGGCGGCACTCTGGTCCAAGGAGCGGGAAACGGACGAACATGTAGGGGTTGCGGATTTGTTCTGTAGAGTTGGTGACGATGACCAGCTGCCATTATGCACGCGACAGTGCCATAAAATCAAGTAAAGACTACGTAGTTGACGGTTGTAGTAGCGTTGATCTCATAGAGGGAAACCACACATTCAGTCGATGTACACGGACGCGTTCGGGGCGGTGGACAAGTGCCCGCGGACCCATCGTATTAAATTAAGCCCGATTTAATACCTCTTCAACCCCTTGGGTGCCTTTCCTCGCAGAAGAGCCGACCGAGACCGAACCAAGCGGTCCGGTTTAAGTCCCGCCATGCATGGCTGATGATGTAAAGCGGTCAGCCCTGTTTGTGTCCGCGGCGAGCGCCAGGGGATGCAAGTGTGTGTGTGTGTGTGTGGGGGGGGGTTGTGTGTGTGTGTGTGCGCGCGTGTGTGTGCGTGTGTGTGCAAGTGTGGCGCACGCACCTCGTGGCTAATTGAAACATTACGTATTTAAGGCTCTGGGCAATCTGGGTGGCGCTGTCCGCAAGGTGGGGAGAGGAAGGGCGGAAAGGGAAGGGGGGGGGGGCTCTCGGCCTTCCCTCCTTCTTAGGAGTGTTAAGCTTGCGGCCAGGGGCGCCCCAGCGGCATGCCGCGCGGCAATCTACCGCACGCTTCGTCGCTCTGTCTCTCTCGCACGTACAGGGCGTCCCGCAGGAGGTGCGAGAGAGACAGAACGACGAATCACAGCCTGCTGTTGCACTTTGCCACAGCAACCGACATTCACTTTGGTGGGACGAGTCTCAGTCGTCGCGTACGCCTTCGGCCCTTCGTGACGTCGGGACACGTTAGGCGGACAGGCGGCGCACCTCGGGCACCTTGGGCACCTTGGGCACCTTGGGCACCTTGGGCACCCACCGCCTTGCTGCCATCCGTCTTGACGCGTCACGGCCCGCTCGATTCAAACCGTTTATTTCCCGCCCCAAGCCACCCGGCACCCGCCCTGCCCTGCGCCCTGCGCCCTCTGGCACTTGGATAAAGTGAGCGTGCGAACGGACGCGAGCGAGACGAGTGAGGGGTGCCGGGCGTAGCCTGGCGTAGCCGCGCCTCGACGGCAGCGGGGCGGCGGCGGGGCGGCGGCGCCACCAGAGGGCGCCGGGACAGGAGGGCAGACTGCTTGTAAATAATGCACGAGATTCACTAACGGGAATATACGTACGTACACACGGCGGCCTTGCTAGCCTCGCCAGCCCCCGCCTGGCTACGCCTGGCCAGTGGGACCACGGACGAGGGCCGGCGAGGCGGAGAGCACGCCGGAGCCTGCGGGAGTTGATTTGAGCGCGGAAAAAGGGGTCCGCGAGGGCTGGCAGTCCGAAGCTAGTCCGAGGGGCGGCCGAGACACTGTCGGGGGTTGGTCATCGCCGCCGTGCGGTGTCGGCAAATGCAATTGGTCAGGCGTCGGATGGGTTGCCTGCCTTCACGGCGACCTGGCTGCGACGCTCCCTCCTCACGAGTGGTGGGTTGCCTACCTCCACGGCTGACTCTCGCTCGAGGGACCGAAGAAAGTGCGCCGTGCCAGTAATCTAAACTGAATGCCCTCCGATCGCCCCGTCCGTCCGTTCGTCCGCCGGGCGCTCGGGCAGTGGAGGGCGCGCCCCGAGACATGTCCAGCTCGCACAATAGTTAATTAGCGACAGGGCCCTTGTTTATGCAGTTAAATGCTTAGCATGTCAGTAATGAAGCAATTATCCGTTCCGGCGGCCAGCCGAGAGCCTGCCGAGAGCGCAAGGGCCAGCTGAGGGCCAGCCGCCGTGGCGTGCTGTCCGGCCTGGGAGCGCGTGGGTCGCAAAGGGCAGCGTAGGGCGGCGGGGGCAGAGCGGAAGTGCAAAGGAAGGGGGGGGGGAGCCGGCAAATCCAGTCTGGTTGCGAACAGTGCTTTGCAAGGGGTGACCAACTCGAGATTTTCATGCACACTGATTACTGAATTATTGAAATTCAAGTGAATATATTGATTGCGTGTTATTTTGATGGTGATATCCAGCGCGGTTTCACCACCGCACTGTAGTCTCCGACGCGGAAAAGGCGGGGAAAATGCGCGCGGTTTTGAATATGGGGAGAATCGACTGGCGGGAAATGTGGGTCGGATTCCGATGGGCGCAGACGCGACGACGCCGGCCGAAGACAATTTCATTATTTGGCGTGCGGAACGCCCGGCGTGGCCGTGGCGTGGGCCAGTATGGGGAATGCCCGGCATGCCGAGGGTGGGGGGGGGGGGGCAGTTTATCGAGGAGGTGCATATCCACAAGGAGATAGAGCCCCACCCAGCAGAAGCAGAACCCCGTCTAGGCTTTAGCGGCTGCAATGACTATGCAACCCAACAATGAGTGCTCCAGGGAATTTTTAAATGGCACCAAGACGCATTAACAATAATAAAATTTCGCCGTTTTTTTCGGTGATTTTAGGGAGTTCTGCCGGACACATCACTGCTAGAAGAATCGATTGCAGAGAAATAATTTCCACCCACGGTGGCTGCCCAGGCTTACCGACTTAGCAACCACCGTTGGTAAGCCTGGGCGTTTGGAAGGCGTTTTGTTTTTGAGTCGTGGCAGCGCTGGCGTGGCCGGTGCGGCCAACGACCTTGGCGCGCAAATGACTCCATTCTGAACCAGCTTATCCCCCGGCGGCGCCACCGTATAAATTGAATTAATTGAATTAACGAGGAAGTGATAGCCGGGCGACGAAACGCGACGAAACGCCACCGATTCGGCGGCACCGCGATAAGTGCGGCCGAAACGAAATTAATAAAGTCGCTCTAATCTATCGTGCGGCTTTGCAGTGGCTTTTGCAGTGCCACCGATAAAGCTCTTACCGCGCGCCCTCGCTTTCTGGTCGCGGGTTCAAATCCGCCTCCCTCGCGTCGGCTTTACGAAGAAAAAGCCACCGTATCAACATTAAAAACGAAACACTTAATTTTTTTTAAATATAATTTTTTTGCGCTATACCTGCTGGAAACTCGTTAAAAATAAAAGCATTGAAAGTTTCGGAATTTTCCAAAGAATTTTTTTAGCACGAGCTCTCCGACAATTTCCAAGATTTTTTTTTCCAACACTGCGGTTTTTCCATCCGATCTACATAAAGACCTGCTTCGATTAAGTGACGCTCACGTGGCAGCGAAAGCGCAGCGCACAGCGCGCAGCCTGCTACCAACGGCGCGGCCGGGCTGGGCACGCATGCCACGCGGCGACGCGGCCGTTTTAGCAGTCAGTCTGGCTGCCAGCACTGGCTGCCGGCACTGGCCACCGGCCGGCCATTCGGATTATGGGATGTTGCACCACACTGCAATTACACGCGCTGCCTGGCTGGCCGACAGGCCGCGCCTCGCACGTCGTCACCGATGCCTCGCTTGATTTGCAAAGTATGATTTACGGGCTATCCCGCCCGGCATCGGATTAGACCAGACTGGCGGCTAGACGGGCTAGACCTCCCAGCGCGCCGCGCCGCGCGCTCGCCGCCACTGCACTGCCCACGCAGTGCCGCGGTACTTCTCCAAAACTAGCCTCCTCGCAGGGGCTGACTCGCCCAGATTCGCTTTCGTCTTCGCCTCCCCGTGCGTCCGCCGTGCCCAAGCACCCCCTCCTCCTCGCCTTATCCCGTGCCATCGGACAATAAGATCGTGAGATGCTGGATACCATAATGAGATAAGGTTTCTGCCGATAACTGCCCAGAACTGGCGCTTCGCTGCACGGAAAACAACGACGACAACAACAACAAAAGCCCGGACGGCGAGAAAAGGGCCATGACTGAGGGCACGACTCGCGACAAAGTCATTTGCAGCGGCCGAGTGGAAACGGAGTGGAAGCCCCTGTCAAGTCGGGGGTAGGCAACCCGCACGCCAGCTGTGCGCATGTTTGCCTACCTCGAGCTGTTTTCGGGCCTTTCCACTGCCGGCCGGCGGATTCGCTCCGATCAGCACTTCTCTACCGGGGCCACGACCCCTGCATCCCCACCGTCCTAGACGCCCTGTCCCTCCCGCCATCACGGGGCGTCCCCCGGGGTGCGAGAGAGACAGGGCGGCGCAGGGACTCTTGGGGCCGCTCGGCCGCTGCATTCGGGCGGTGGGTTGGCAACCCTATCCTCGGCGTCCGTCCGCGCGTCCGCCCCTTGCAGCCCCTCGCCGTGCTTCCCTCAAATGAGGCAAACTTGACGTCACCGACGTGCCGCCCGCCCGGCCGCCCCGCCTCGTAATAGGGGCTTCCCTCTATCCGTCACTAGAAAATGATTCTCTTTTTTGGCGCGGGGGAGTTGGGCCCCAAAGTCGGCGGGGTGGCCGGCGCGTGCCTCTGGGATGTTGTGTGGTGAGCCACCCCGCAAGGGAAGGGGTGGGGGGAGAGAAAGTTGCGAAGGGAGGGGGCCACCACTGCCAAGCCGTATGCGTTAGAACCCCCAGCAGTACGTCAAGCTGTACGCCATTTGACACTCCCACCCGCCGCAGCACCAAAAAAATTCTTGATAATTGCAAAACAACAATGGCGCTTGTTTTTCCACTGGGGGCTCCCCCCTCCCCCTCCTCTCTCCGACGGCCTCTTCCCCGATTCGTGTGCCCCTCGCCGCGCCCGCCACTCGGCTCCGTTCTCATCGTCTGACGAGCTGCCTAATTAAGCGAGTAATTCCAAAATGGCGCGGCCTGTACGCGGCCTGTACTTAGGCCCTTGGGCTGCACGCTGCACGTCTCGGCGAAGCATCGCACGCAGGGCCGGACCGCCGCGCACGCCACACTGGAAAAAACAACAACATCCGAAAACGACAATTAATCAGTACCTCCTAGCTGATATTCTTAGACGCCATCAACAAGTGCGTGAAGCGGGCGGCGGCGCGGCGAGGCCCACCCGTGCGCTGCCCGCCGGCGGGCTGCGCGTTTTCGTCGCTCTGTCTCTCTCTCACCTGCACGGGACGCCCCGTGAGTGCGAGAGAGACAGAGCGGCGGGAAGCACTTGCATGGATTGCTCTAATCGCTGGCGGCCCGTGTAATTTTCTTGTTAGCGGCCGATGGCCAGACGATGGCCAGACGAGGCCGGACGAGGCCGGCGCTCTTCATCAGCAAGACGGACTGCTGCTGCTGCTGCAGGCGTCCCGGCGTCGCGGCGTCCCGGCCAGGCTAGCGCCTTTTGCATATCATTTCGCCCGTACATCATAATCGCCGCACTGCCTCAGCATGCAACGAGCCGCACTTTGCAATATGGCTGAGTTTCGCTGTTGACGCGCCGGTCGTCCGAGCGCCTCGACGAGCCACAGTGGGCCAGAAGACTGGTGGAAGCGGACAAAACTCTAGACGCGTTTTGAGCTCCAGAGTCGCGAAATGGGACTCGAACCGAACGTGTGACCCCACCAATGGATTGCTCTTTGAACGAGGAGTCCATTGGTGGGGTCACACGTTGGGTTCGAGGCCTGTTTAGCGACTTTGGAGCTCAAAACGCGTCTAGAGTTTTGGCCGCCTCCACCAGTCTTCTGGCCCTCTGTGCGAGGTGCCCGTCGTCGCCCCGTCTCCCTCGCACCACTGCGGCCCGGCCCACGAGTGCGACAGAGACAGTCCGCCACGCCTCGCAGCACGTGACAGCACACCGGAAGCGGGCCGTCTGTCCGTGTGTGTCCGGCTGCAGAGGGAAATAATTAAAATGCACGCTTTGCTATTTCCCATCCCCTTGCTGCGCCTTGCTCGCTACAGGCTTGGGATGACGTCATAATGGCCGTCATTAGTCGCTATTAAGATACCCAGGTAACGCAATTAGCGGCAATCTTGGACGGCCCTTCGCTCGCCTTCACATTTTCGGGCCCTTCGCGCGACGTGGACAAACTAGCCCGACCTGACCTAACCTTGCTCCTGCCCAGCTCCAGCCTAGCGCTGGCGGGCATCGCGGCGAGAGGGTTGCACTCCCCACCCCGCATGGCTTCACCTGACCATGGCGAGGCGCGCAGATTCCTTTTCACGCCCTATTTTTCACCCACCGCCCTTCCTGATGGAATAGGGTAGACGGACGGCCCACAAAAAAAAAAAAAAAAACCAACAACCAAAAAAGAGGGATTTTTAGCGACTTCCTCGACACCCCCTTGGGTTGACTTCGCACGCGACTCGCGACAACGCTAATGGGGCATCCTCGCAATTAATCTTGCTGCCCCGCTCCCCGAGGCCCGCCGAGCACCGCGGCTAGTGAATGCTGCATTCTTTTTTATGGCCGGCTTGCGGTGTGATGACCACCGGACGGCCGTGGCGGCCGAGGCCGGGCCGCCCCGTATGTGCACAAAATATGATTAAGGCCTGTCGTATATTACCCCGACCAAAGGGCGCCTTGAAATACGGCTGGCATGTGTGGTCTGGGCTTCGCAGGCTTCGCGGGGCGGCATCTTTTCCGGAGATTTACAGTGGGCCAACACGGGCAGCTCGGCAACGCCTCCGACGAGGGCACAATATCCCTCTTAATCCGGCGTGATTAATAATCAATCTTGTTTTGCTTCACCGTGAGGGCAGTGCTTGGGCGCCGTCATCGGGGTGCTCGGCCGAAACTCGCAGGTGGCGTGTGGTGCTTTCTGGGGAGGTTACAAAAATCAACGACGTGGGCTTGCCCAACATTTATTTTGGCAAATTTCACTTGTGAAACCTCTCCTGTCGGGTGGTTCTTCCCGGTGTGGATTTTCGCCCGGCCGGTACAGTCCTGCGAGGCGGGGCCCCGCTTTCCCACACCGTGGGGCGGATCTTCGCATGGCGAGTCCTGATTGGCCCGGATGACGAATCCCTGGAACAAAAGCGAGCAAAAAAGGAGGACAAAACGGGAGTGACTCAGATAGCGACAATAATTGGCGTGTTTGCAGAGCGGCGTCGTCGCGTGCCTCTCTGCCTCTCTCTCCCCCTCCCATCTCTCCCCCTCCACCGGCCACCCCCTCCTCCACTTCCGGCGGTCGACGGAACGTCACGCACCGAGGGCTTTACGGAGTATTCGGAGAAATCAATCCAAAATGGCGGCTGGTCGCGATGGCGTGTTCGCCTGCTCGGCCTGCTTGGCGTGCTCGGCGTGCTCGGCCGTGCCGCGGGTCGCGCCGGTCGTGCCGAGCGCGCCATTTTGGGTTCGGAGGATGGCCACACGCCAGGCACGCCGGGCACGCCCAGTGGAAAGCACGTTCCAAACAAAAAGGGTTCGACTTGGCATGACGAGCGTGTCACCCGCCGACTTGGACGCCAACAGAGTGTCAAAACGCAACGCCAAAACAAAAACACTTAGCAAAGCTTTGGTTGTTATGGCCTCCGAAAAAGGTCTCTGCAAAATGATAAAGTCTTGGCTTTGGTACGGCCCTTTCCACCTCTCTCTCTGCACTTCCCCCTTCCGCTTTCTTCCCACTCCCTCTCACTCTCTCTCCCTCTCCTTGTCGCCGTCTTCCGAAACACTTGACGAGGGATGGACAGCGCGCCCTGCCCTGGCCGCCGTCTCATGCACCTGTCCCAATCAAGATATACGCGGAGCGAGAGAGAAATTGTGTTTGTTTAACGGAGGGTCCGCGCGGCCCGAGCAACGTGTAATTTTCTACTCATTCTATGCCGGCCGATGGGGCAGGCTGGAAGGCTGTGAGCAAGGCTGTGGACGCCGTCGTCGTTGTGGGCGGTTGCCCTCCGCGTTCCAGGGCCTGCCCGCCCTGGCCCCGCCCTGGCCCCGCCCCTGGAGTGCCCTTTCCTGCCCACCCTTCCAGGACCCCGAGGGGTTCACATGGCCGATGGCGTAGCTAGACAGTGTGTGGCAAACGGTGCGGGTGACGCGCCCTCACGCTCCGCTGCCTCATTTTCGAATCCACTCTCCGCGGCGTGGCGCTGCGCTCACACGAGACGGGCCCCGCCGAAACGCCGGCGCTCTGTCACTGCGTGGCCACTGCAGGGTCACTGCGTGAACCGCGAACGGTGTGCTGCCGTTATGCGGGAATGGCGCACCAAGACCGCCACTTATGCAAAGGGGCTCCAACGGGACCGGAGGACGCGGGGCGTAAGTTACTACTGTTTAGGGCGCCCGCCCCGCCCCGCCCCGCCGGCCTGCCTCCCCCGAGCTACGCCGACGCCTACCCGCCCCGCCCCGCCCCGCCTCGACCACCCGGCCGTGCCAGTGGACCACACCTGGCGATCTGCCCTGCAGCGCCAAGTCACTTAACCTGTTATTACCCAATTCTCGAGAAAACAAACACAGTTTGCAGCGGACGAGGGGCTTTCGTCATCAGCATGAAATTGAGTCGCTGTCAGGGGGCAGGCAGGCAGGCGGGCCGGGGGAGCGGCGAGTGGGAGCGAGAGGGAGCGAGGTTTACAGGGCAGGTGCGCGCGTGCACACTCACACACTCACACACGCGCGCACGCTCAGTCGCCTTGGTGATTAAAAGTGAGTGGGCCGGGCCGGCATGCCTGGCCATGCCGCGCCGCTTGTTTTCGTGCAGCAATAGACGAAAATCTGGTAATAATGTTGTTAGCCGCGACCAGGGCGGCCGGGCCGGTCGTTACAGCGTACTGCAGCTTCCGATACTTTGGATGCACCTGCACTGCAATGCCATGGCAGTGCACCTGCCGGCTGCGTGCGCGCTGCAATCAGCCCGAGCAAATAAAGGTCCCCGAGAAACAAAGAAGCGCCCGAAAAAAAGGGGCAACTCGTCTTTTGATTTCGGCCTGCGCCCGATGCGGCTCCACGGAGATGAAAACACTGGCAGAATACGTCCGTGGAGCGCCCCACTGCGAAATGGCGCGCAGACCGCGAGTGCATACACCAACGGCAAGCCCAGTGCATGGGAAAACTCACGACTTGAACAAATTTCTGAATTTTTTAATTAATTTTTTCTGTTGGCACTAACCGTCGAATCTGGCAGAGAGCATCACTTGGCGGACGCGGCCGCCGCCCCCAGTTTGACTCCTCGTCCTGCGCTTCGATCGTTGCCACGCAAAAAACAACAACAACAAGAAAAAAGAGCCGGCTGGGACCAAAAGTTGGTCGCAGGGGCCGCTGCGCCTAACGATGAAGATGTCGTCGTGCCAATTTTACGTATGTATTCGTGAGCAATCGGCAAACTTTGTGATTTTTTTTTACATTTTTTTGTGCTCGTGCGCACCGACGAGCGGATTGTTCGTTTTCGTTGAACGAGTGTGTGGGAGCGCGCAGTGGGGAGGGCGATTCGTGCCCGCACGGTCACTGTTTCAGGGAAAATCGCAAAAAGAAAGAAATCTCTCTTTGAAAACCAAAAATAAATAGAAGCAGCAGTTTTAAAAGTCTTCCGCTGGCCAAATGGAGAGGCGGCCGCGGAGTCCAGCAGTGGACTGATTCCGAGAGTCGTTTTCGTTGCTCTGTCTCTCTCGCAATCATGGGTTGTTCCATGCAGGTGCGAGAGAGACAGAGCGACGAAAACGACTCTCGGAATCAGTCCCCAGGCCGTCCAGCCAGGCTGCAGCGGCTGTAGCGTTACTTTGGTCAGTCTGGCCACCCCAACGCTCCGCGACTGCAGCTAGGGGAGGCCAGCCTAAGATATTAAAAATGTTGCCAACTTTTCCACTCGAAAGAATCCTCACCCGGTCCGTCCCTGGCTGGCCTGCAGGGCCTGACGTGCGGTGGAGGGATGTCATTCAAGCCAGGGCCCCGAGTTAGGCCCGGGGCGGCTTTCAAATGCCCGGCCGGCAGTCGCTCTGTCTCTCTCGCACTCATGGGGCGTCCCGTGTAGGTGCGAGAGAGACAGAGCGACTCTGCGGAGGGGCTGCCCGGCGTTATTAGCGGGGCTGGGATGAGAAGAAGCCCCGTGAGGACTCCACGTGCGCCGGAAATGAGCAAAGTCCTTTAAAAATCTTTGCTCCTGAAGTCGAAAAGCGGATGGCAGGCAATGGAAAGGCGAACCACACTGGGATTTCGGACTTGTGACGCTCGACACGCTTCGCGGCGATGGCATCTTGCTGCAATGCTGTCCGGCGACGCGGCTAGACTTAGACGGCCACAGGCGTCGTCGAACTGGGTCAGCACTCGCCAATAATATTTGTGTTCGGCGCTGACAGCGGCGGGGAGGGGCGGGGAGGGGCGGGGCGTGGACGGCCTCCGCCACCGACTTTGTCAAGTTTTTCCGGCCACGTCGCCGCCACATCACCCGCAAGCAGCGAGGCAGCGAAGCAGCGCAACTTGGCGGTGCAGCCGCCAGATTCCGCCGCTGTCTCTCTCGCACTCACAAGGCGTGCCGTGGCGTGCCGTGCGGGTGCGAGAGAGACAGAGCGACGACGCCGTCCTTCGGAATCAGACGGCAGGCCGTCCGTCCCCCAACCCTCCGCCGTCGAGAGATTGGCGCCAAAAACAAAGCCAGGCGGATGCAGCATCCAGCAGACTGATTCCGGGAGTCTCTTTCGTCGCTCTGTCTCTCTCGCACCTTTTAGGGGCGCCCGTGAGTGCGAGAGAGACAGAGCGACGACTCTCTCGGAGGGCGGAAGCCTCGGCAGGGCACATCGCCGCGCCTTCAATTGAACAGCGAACAGTGTAGGAGTGACATTTGCGAGCGTCCTGCTTGAGGGTCTTGAGGGCGGCGGGGAGGCTCCGTGCCTGACGGGCCGCTTGTCGTGCCGCGCGTCGTGAACCTGACGAGCGATTCCGGGAGGATCGCTCTGTCTCTCTCGCACCGCAACGGCGCCCCCCGCGGGTGCGAGAGAGACAGAGCGACGGCTCGGCGAGACGCCATAAGACGCCCGCGGCGCCGCGTCTATCGGGGGGACTTGTCGACGGCAAGCCGCGGGAAGCGAGCCGCCAAAGAGGTCGGCGCTGGAGGCAACGTCTCGCGGGGAGGGCGGCAAAAAACAGGCGGAGCCAGTGTTTGAACCCCGGACGGCGAAATCCACAGTGACTACACCAACGCCCGAAAACGGGGATATTTAAACTTTTTGCCGCTGATTTTGCAGTGTAATCCTTTGAGCCCGCTCGCTGCAGCTCAGTGTACTTTTGCGACAGTTGTTCACGGCCGGCAGTGGCCGTGCTGGAGCACTGCTAGCCGAGCGGCGAGGCGCCGAGCAGTCATAGCGCGAGGTTTAGCGGCCGCTTAGTGGCGGAATCAAGGGAAGCCAGGCCCAGCAAGGCCGGCTAGGGGTGGTCGGGGTGGGGGTGGTGCCACACGTTGGCGGGCCGGGCGGGCCTGCAACTGGGGCAACGGGAGCGATTACCAACTTGGTAAGGGCACATGCTTGTCGGGGCCGTTTCGGCCCACAAATACCCCTTACAGTGCAGTGCCACCGATACGGCCTCGATGTGGCCGACCCGCCATGACGAGGCTTCGCTTCAGCTCCAGAGCGACGAAAGAGACGAGAGAGATTTCGTGTAGCGTTTTGCGTGGGACGCAGTCATGCCCGCGGAAACATAAAGACATCACTTCCGCGTCACTGACGCGTCACTGACGGCAGTGGCGTGACGCGGCGACTATTCAGCGAAACGGAGCCGTAGTCTGGCGGCGCTTTTTTAGCGAGAAGAGAACACTCGCCGAGATTCGGCGATTCGGCCACAATGGCCGGCCGGGCACGCATGGCGCCAAGCCTAGCCAAGCCAAGCCGAGCCAAGGGCGTCGCTCCGTCTCTCTCGCACTCGCCGGGGCGCCCCGTAGCGGTGCGAGAGAGACGGAGCGTCCGAACAACGGCGGCGGTTCGGTAACCAGCGAATGAGGGCGCGATGGATGAGGCTGGCCGACGGGACCGACTTAATTCCGTCGGAAAGAGAGAAGAGGAGTCACTGGTAATTTCCACGTCAGCCAGAAGCAGCAGCAG